GCTGCTGCAAGTAATGGCCAAAAAACCGTAAAGACTTACCCGAACAAATTAGCTTTCAACTCACCAAAAGGCTACATATAAGTTGAACTAAACTAGACAAAACCAAAATAAACCTGAACAGCAATATCTGGATGCACTGTATCATCTCCACAAAGCTGCACTCTTCTTAAAGAGCAAAATGTGTGTGTGTTGTGCTGTAGTTTGAGGTATTTTCTAAGCATTTCAGTGTTTGGAGACCAGCAATAATGAAGCAGAGGTAACCTAGTAAGACAGGGCCCATCATCTAAGTTCCTCCTAGCTAGAAAGCACTGATGGCCTTTTAAAGGGATGTTTGGGTTAAAATCATGATTCTAAAAGACTTTTGTGTTACTAACAGCAATTTAAGTGAAAATTAAATCTTAATTTAATAATTTTATTTTTTCACTTCAATTTGGACAGGGAAACTAAACCACTTGGTTTCACTCATATTTCTATCAGTCAATTTCAGGTTGTGATTCTCTTACACTAACGTTTAGATTACAGATGCTTCAATGACAGACTTACATTTAAACACTTTTCACTATTTCCATAGAAACTCTCTTAAAGAAATCATGAAAAGCTACTGCAATTAAGTTTAACAAAATCTAAATTTTGGGACTTCCCTTTCAAAGCCTGTATTACACTTGTGCACGTGAGAAATCTCAAGACAAGAATGAGTTGGCTCCATTGCATACTGCACATGAGGTGTTACATCATAAACTCCTGAGGTTTGCTTTTCCTAATGGTTGAATTAGCTGCTTGCCTCACTAGCAGCTCTGTTCCCATCCCCAAGACATGGAATGTCATAACAGGTGTGCTTTGAACTACATGTGCCACTAGCAGCGTAATCCATTCTGAACCATGCAAGACACAAGCGTGACACGCAGAGCTGGTAGATGGAAGATGGTTATAGAGAAATATTATATATCGTGAAAATACAAACCATCTATGCCAAATTGCCAGCTATGGGCAGAGCTAATTTGCACATGTAAGTCTTCCAATAACATTTTAAAACCCTTATTTGACAATAAAGCTGTTTCCTTCTCCTCTATTCATTTGTTTGTTCTTTATATCAGTCCTCACTTTCTGTTTGTTTGGTTTATTTTGCAACGTATAAAATATGCCCATCGTCCGCTTTTAATTCATGTCCCATGGCCAATTACAATTAGTGTGCCATACAATACCTGTTGAGAAACCAATATAAGGACTGTAGATTTTTGCATACAGTTTTGCTAGACAGTTTGCATGAATCATTAAGTTCAGTATTGTGTGAATTTGAGAATGGAGCCATAAAGGTCTGTTAGATGTGATTTTTTTTTTTTTTTTTTTTTTTTTTTTCCCCATGGACCCTTCAATGAAGAGTAACTAGTTTTGTGCTGCGTTCAAAAGGGGAAATTGTTTGGTTTAATACTTTTATTCACTACAGTTAAGTGAGAGGGTTTGTTTTTTTTGGGAAATATAAGATTACGGCATTGCAGTGACCTTAGTTCTGCATAAATCCAAGAATTCTTGAACCCTGGGTGACCTGCTTTTTTTGCTACATCACCCATACATGAGTGGTATGGTTTAAAATTTAGCTTCCAAATACTCATTCAATGGAGAGACAAGTTCAAAAAATGCATCTTTAAAAATTACTTTGTTTTTTTTTTTAAACACATTTATTTTGCACCACTTAATGAAGTTAATTACTTGCTCTTCATTCAGCTTGGATAACACAAATGTATGTCTTAGTTTTGCTTACTGCTAATTTCACTTGCTGACTCCTGTTAGCACACACAGCACATGGAATGTTCAGTTGCAAGCATTCTCTTTTTGACCCTGATGCTAGTAAGGGTTCTAAAACCACTCTCCTTTCATTTTCTAACAAAATGGAATTTTGGATGCAAAATATCCTAATAATTCCAATCCAAGAACTGTGCAGGGATAGCTCAGTGGTTTGAGCATTGGCCTACTAAACCCAGGGTTGTGAGTTCAATCCTTGAGGCGGTCATTTAGGGATCTGGGGCAAAAATCTGTTTGGGGATTGGTCCTGCTTTGAGCAGGGGGTTGGACTAGATGACCTCCTAAGGTCCTTTCCAACCCTGATATTCTATGAAATCAGGTGCACTCCTTTAAAATAAAAAATAGTGACTACAGTAGACAGGATTATCAAATTCAATGCATTTGAATCTCTAATATAAAACTGTATAGGAAAATGCATGCATTTGATTATAAGAGGTCAATGTTCTATTACATAGAATGTGCATGACACCTCTAAATAGCAGTATCCTGCTCCTGCATGTGTATATGAAATATCTTTTATTGTACTATCTTCTGTTGGTGAAAGAGACAAGCTTCTGAGTTCCTCAGGTTTAGGAAAGGAAATAGATATGCAATGTAGACATTTAGTAAGAAGAGTTAGTGCAACACAATTTAAATACACAAAATCAGATTAAATGTAGGCAGTTGTTCTTTCCAAAAACATGCTAATAGGGTAAGGAGCTGTGTATATTGCAATATTTGTTCACTTTTATGCTACCACTCCCTACAAAGACTAGAGTATCTCTGTTTGGTTACTGGCTCTGATGGATTATAATCTGCATTTTCTTGAAACAATGATTGTGGCTGCAGTTGCAAAAAAGACTTTAAATAGTACACACGTGATGGTTGTTTATGACTCCAAAGCCTTAACATAATTTGGAAAGTCAAAATGGCCTAGAGCAAAATGACTGAAACATACTCTAACCTCTCTCCCCCTGCAACAAAGGTACAATTTAAGCAAGAAACTGAAAATGAGATCAGACACCTGCATTTGTGTATTATTCCCCTGCTTCTGTATTTCAACACCTGGAAACACTTTAAAACTAAATTAGAAGTTGCTTCATGTGCTGGGTTAAAAAAGTCCTCTTTTTTTTTTTTTTTTTTTAAATGGGGCACTCGACTTTTGCTTAGTTTAGCCTGTTCCTAGAACAACCTTTAATCCAAAGTTAACAAGTGAGAAATGCTGGTGGAGTGGCTCAAATAAAGACTAGCTAAATTTACCATCTGTGTTATAAACCTCCAGTGCAAGGAATTCCAAGGGCCTGATCCAAAGCCCATTGAAAAAACTTCTGTTGCCTTCAATGGATTTTGAACCAGACTCTAAATATGAAACTGAAATTGTACCCTAAACTTGACTGGGTGAATGAAAAATAAATCATACTGTCTGAAATCATGCTGGCCTGTCTAGGTAATTCTTTGAAATGCCTAGTTCTTTAGATTATAAAAATTTGCTGCTAAAAGCATTTTTGGCAATATAGGTTGCAGAGGGCTTGAATATAAAAAACTATTGCTTAGTTTGCTATGACTGTTCTGAAGCTAGGGAGCCCGTTTAGAGAATTCAATTAAATAATTACAGTAGTTGAGCTGTTAAAAATCAGTCTGGCCAGCACGTGCTGCACATGTGGATTGGTTTATGAATATTTCTAGGAGGGAAAGAAGTCCCTATTTTATTAATTCCAAAAAAGGGGGCGAAAAAGTGAGTCTTACGCTGCATCTGCAACCTGAAGTTCTTTCAAAATAACTGATCCACTCTGGAGGAACTATTGCAAAGCTTTGCTAATCAATACATTTAGTTTCATGCCCAAAGCAGAAAGATTATTCCTTTGCCCCTAGGGGAGCAAACTTGGTTATAGAAAATGTGTTGTACAGAAACAAAATAAGTAACTCGAAAAGCACCCTCACCCTCGGAGTAATAGCGTTGACATGGCGCTAAAACACCCATGCCAAGTTTCAGCCTTCGGTGACTATTTTTGATTGTCCAATTGCTCGAAAACAGGTGTGCTGACAGACGTCTGCTGTGTTAGAGCCGACTAAAAAGCCACCTTGTAATTAACAATGGTGCTGTTGGATGGGTTGGTTATTTATATAAAGGCACACACTGCAGGCGTTTTTTCTTATACCTACCTTGTGAGTGAATATGGGTCTGATCTGGCTCTTAAATTATTTTGGTAATATGATCCTGAGCGTTTTAAAACACTGTAGCTGTGCAGGCGGCCTCCTGAAGCCCAAGTATCATAAATATTTAGACTAAGCGCTAGTTAATATTTGAAACTAAATTAATGTCAACTCCGTTTGAGGGGAAAAAATGGAACTGGGCATTCTTATTCTCCGATCCTTCGTTCGAGAGCAATTTAACACTGGGTTCTGGCACGTCTGGCTCAGCTACAGAGCCTAGGCAGGGGCACGTTCTCTCAGAAAAAGGGTCTTTCACGTGGGACGATTCTAAAACTTGTACTTAAACAAATACGGGGCGGGCAGCGCCGAAGACGCACGAGATGAAATTGAAATACAGGGGCGTGCAACCCTAACGTTGCCGCTTGTGGACAGCACTTAGCATTTCAGATCTGTGGCCCCGTCCATGTGACTGTATAGGAAACGCTGACGCCGTGCAGCCCGGCGCTCCAGTAACATAAAGTCTGACTTTTCATTTTGCAAGTTGTTGGGAGAGAGTTTATTGATTTTTTCTCCCCTACAGGCGAAGAACAACGCAGCGCCTTCTCCCCGTGGCTCAGGGTTTGCAGCTCTGCTGGGGAAAGTGTCCAAACAAAGTGTGCTGCTCACCGCCCTGATCCGTGCCACGAGATGCAGCCTGGGCATCTTACAGGGAAACGACTCTGTGCACGTCAGGCAGGTGGAGGCGCCCTCCCAGCTCTGCCGCATCGGATAACGGGCTCGCTCGGGGGTGGTTGGCTACCTTTGCATTGGGGCGGCAGCAGCAGCTCCTCCTTCCCGCGCCCGGAGCATGCTAGCAGGGGGGATCTGAGTGCAGGGAGTCTAGGTCTCCAGCCCGTGGCGGAGCAATAGCAGCAACCACCGAGGCTCCCCAGGGAGCTGCGGCCCTTAACTGCTTCTCCCGCGCCCCAGATGGCTGCGGAGGGGCCCCGAGCAGCTCCGAGCTCGGCCCGGCCCCGCCCCCCGGGCTGACAGGTGCTGAAAAGCCCCGCGGCGGACGGCTTGGGGGGCGGCGGCTGCTGGGGCATGGCCGGTGCTGGAGGGGACACCCCGCAGCAGGGGGACGGGCCTGGGAAAGCGGCGCCGAAGGCCACCCTTCTCCCAGAGGAGCCGCCGCAGGAACAAGCGCTCAGGCGGTCGGCAGAAGAGGTGAGCGGCTGTGGCTGCCCGTCGGGTCCCCAGCATCGCCCCTCGGGGCTGCCGGGCTTGCAGTGCTCTGACCTCCTTTGCTCTAGGCCCTTTCCCCCGCCTGCACCTGAACGAGTTCGCCAGGGACCTCCCCGAGAATCTTAATGACAGTGTCCTAGAAATAATCCAGGAGCTCCGGCTCGCGGGGTGCTGTTCCCGCAACGGGGACTGGCCGGCTGAGATGCTTGAGTGGATGCCAGCGATCATCCTCTTTGCCGGACTCCCGCCCTGTGCAATGTGAACGAAACTCAGATAGATCCTCAATGAACGGTGACTCTTTTTTTTGTTTGTTTGCCCTGATGTAATTTTGTTACTTTTCCTAAATTCCTGCCCCTCCAAGAATAAACTTCTTGTGTAGCAGCTTCTGAGGTAGCACCTCCTCGGGGGGTATCAGAAACACTAGATGCCTCTTTGACTGAGAACTTTGTCACCAAACAGAAAGCAGCATTGGAGTGGTTTTTATGTCAGAGATATTTTATCCACTGGGATTTGAGAGAACATGATATATATAGATAGATATGTATTCTTCTTGGCATGGATCATATTTCCCCAAGTGCTAGATATTTTCGGTGTTTGCAGTGTTGTAGCAGTGTTGGTACCAGGATATGAGAAAGACAAGGTGAATGAGGTAATATCTTTTAGTGGACCAACTTCTGTTGGTGAAAAGGCAAGCTTTTAAGCTACACAGAGCTCTTCAGATATTTTCAAAGTGTTTCCACAGAAATTCTTCACCCTTATCCCTTAATGTTGTGCTATACTCAGAATATCTTTTTTTAGGAGCAAAATGCCCAGTGTCTCTCACTCCTTGGTAATAGTTGGGGGGGGGGGGGAAATGGAGTAAATTTTCATCCATCTTCTTTGTGAGCACGTTTCCCCTGCAACAGAGCAAGAGTCACAGACTGAAGGGTGCAATTTTGGGGGGAACCCCTTTACTATGTTGTTTGTAGCATATGATTGGAGAAGTGTGCGTTGAGAGCTCTAACAATATTCCAGGATGTTGTATCTTCCTAGAATTCAGTTTTCCAGGGAGGCAATAGCTATAAAAGAAGATGAATATTTCCGTTTAAATTGCTGCCTTTGTGCATTTGTCTATATAGATATGAGCATGTGCATTCAGTTTAAAAATGGGACTATTGTTCCATTACCGGTGTGAAAAATTAAGCACACAAATTGAGAAATGCAGTTAAAGCTGAAATATCAACCTTGCTACACAGAAGATAGCAGCATTAAAATGTCATCTTAAATATTTACCCGGTAATACATTATAAACTGGAATCAGATAGGTAACACCATATACAGCTTTGTAATATGCCATATCCAGACTGAAAAAAACAACTTTTTAAAAGGGAAAAAATCAAAATGGAAAAAGCCATCCCTTTAATTTCTGCAAATTCATCTGCAGAGTTAAATTCATGTTGAGAGACAGGGTTGGAGGGAATCATTATACTGGGAAAGTTTCTCATCGTGTTGAATCAGATAAACCTTGACTTAAACTATCTGAAAGTCTCAGCTGCTGCTATCCCTTCCCATTCCTCTTAAACCACTATTGGTTTTGTTCTGGACCTGCTTGATAAAGAAGAGCTTGTGACAAAATGTGTATACACCCAGCCACAGTCCATCCAGCGACTGAAATATCTTCTTCTAGTTGCACAGGATTGCTTTTGCTAGTTGTCTTCTGTACCCACAAACACTTATTACTAATATTCTATTCAGTTTCAGTTCATATTAGTGAAGGAAGTAAAATTCCCAAGAAAATGAGATGTAGTTATTCAGTTACAAGATTAAAGACACTATTGTATATTAGAGAGACTTTTAAACTTACCTAAATTAAAAAACATCCACCATTGATCCACCATTCTACTTCAGAAGTGGAAGCGCTCATTTTCTGTGTTAAACCTTCTTGCTTTACCTTAGATTCATAGAGCTCATGGCCAGAAAGGACCATTGTGATAATTTATTCTCACTTGCTGTATAAACACAGGCCATAGAACTTCCCTAAAATACTTCCTAGAGTGTATCTTTTAGAAAAAAACATCCTATCTTCATATAACAATTGTCAGTTATGGAGAATCCACCATGATCCAAATTGTTCCAATAGTTAATTATTCTCACTGTTAAAAATTTACTCCTTATTTCCCGTTTGAATTTGCCTGGCTTCAACTTAGATATGTGTGATTGTTTCATTATTGTATTTTGTACAGTTTTTAACTCTACTGTAGTAAGTGCAAGGTTTCAAAGTGGATCTGAAGATAATAAGGAAAGAAGCTCAATCTTTCTTGCCCTCCTCCTCTTCCCCTCACTCCCATTTTTAAAAATAAATATTCAGTCTGGAGCTTTCTCTCCCTTCGCCCTGCTTCTGAAACAATCTGTAGAAGCAACTTGAGACTTAAATAACTTTGTTCAAATACAACTTAAAGAATCTCTCAAAGCAAGCCAGACTTTCTTTCAATCCAAAAAATCATGAGTGAAGAATTAACTTACTGAATGGCTAATTCTCCTGTTTAAAAAAATTGGGTTTAAGGGCTATTGTGGTTACTTTCATTACAGCTGTGCCTAAAGGCTCCATATTGAATTAGAGCCCTATTGTGCTAAGCAGTGCACAAACACATAGAAAGTGTCCCTCTTCCGAAGAGCCCAGAGTCTAATTTTTGAGATAAGAAGCAATGAATGGGTGGCATTTACAAACAAGGTGAGAAAGGGAAGGAAGGATGAAAGTAATGTTGATTTAAAATCATGTGCTTGCAAACCTTTGTAACAGAATCTCATATAGATCTGGAATGCAGGCTTTGCACCCCCTTATCATGTTGATTTGTGCCTTGGGTATGAGCAGGCTCAGTGATGGTGAGGCAAACGGGCCAAATCTAACCCAGGATTCTCTTGCAATAAATGATTTGTGTTCAGCAATGCCAGAGTAATTAGAAAAGTCTTTGGGTGCAATTCAGCAGAGCCTACCACTAATGTCACAGCCCAGAATGGCAAAACAAATTCAAGGAGAAATTGGGACTGAATACCTCTGAGGTGGAGCGCAGTTTAAAATGCTGACAAAAGAAAACTGAGACAAGCATAGCACTTAATTCCTGGAGACCAGTGGGTCACTGTGTTAGGCACCATACGACAAATAACTGAAACTTGGTCCCAGCCTGTTACATCTTGCAATCTAAGTTTAAGATGAGTCAATCAATAGGTGGATATAATAGATGGGGTGGGGCATAAGATAACAGTGAGACAGTTATCAATAGTGTAATAAGCAGTGGTCACAGCACCCCAGCTGCCTAATCACTGTCAAGTATTTCGCAGGTGGCTCATCATAGGTGAGTTTAAAAGAGGATAATGCAGTGGCCTGGTGCATTTTTGCAGGGAGCTCCTTCTCTGCATACAGCCAGTATGGAAGAAAGTGTGAAAGTGCATGTTGAAAAAATTCAAATGGGCAATCAAGGGTAGAATCTTGCAGTTTATCCTTATATTTAAAAGGCAATATTAAAAAAAATCCAGCTTTCTGTCCTGTAAAGACCTACCACTCTAAGCCTTTCTACAAGAAAATGTCTAATACAGTTCGTCCTTTATAAAAACAATGTATTTGTATCACGATAACATCTAGAGGCGCCAACCAAGATCTGGAACCCATTGTGCGAAGCATGTGTAAAACCCATAGTAAGACACAGTCCCTGCCTCTGTGAAATAGATAAGACACATAGGGTGGGAGAAAGGAAGTGTTATTGTTCCCATTTTAGAGATAAGAGTACTGAGGCTCAAAGATTAAGTACTTTGCCTAAGGCCACTGAAGAAGTCTGGCAGAGCCCTACCCAAAAGACCATCCTTTGTCCCATTATAAATCCCTTGGGCTGTTCAATGTGGGCTTACAGTTTCAAATCTTTGCAGTGTTTAAGCATGTAGTAATGCACAACTGTATGCTCAAGTGTCAGGGGCCAATTAAATCTCTAGTGAAAATTAAATATAAGGAGGGGGATTTGCACCCCAAGTAGGAGACTTTCAAAAGTGTTCATCTCAGCATGCTGCTCCAAACTCTTTTTTTCCCCTTAACGTACAACACTCTTAAAACAAGAAGTCTCCTGTGGGGGAAGTAGCATCCTCACTGTACAGATGGGAAAAGTAAAGCACAGAGTACATTAGAGAAATGGTTAGAATTTAGGAATTCCCAGCCATTTACTTTCACCACTAGATTCACTGCCTCAAACACCATTGCCCCTTTCTAAGGCTATGAGAGGCAACATAGTCTAGTTGAATGAGCACAGGAATCAGAAAACCTGGTTCTAATCCCTACTTATCTTTGGCAAGTCATTTAACTTCTCTGCCTCTGTTTCCTCATCTGTCATGTGGCTTATTACTTGCAAGGACAGATGAGAATTGTTTGAGCAGAGCTTTAAACGTGCAAAACTCTCTATAAGTGAGTGATATTGTACTAAATATAATCAGATTCCAGCCGCTCTTTTTATTCAAGCAATGGCATACATAGCTATAAACAAAATTAGTCACAGGTGAAAGCCTCCATTAACTGCTACTGAGACAAAAATGTTAACTTTGCTTGAAGGTGATCTGTAAGTATGCTACCCAAGCAGCCTAGCAGTATCTAGAAGGTGAGTAGAATTTCAATGAGACTTCTTAATCAAAAATGTAAAAGTACTGAGATCCTTAACTTTCTAGCCGTGAAGCTGACTGGAGAAATGAGAGTTGCTCAAGTCTGTAAGTCTAATTTTTTTTATTTATTGCTAATTATTTCACAATTTAATATAACTATTCTAATTTCAAGTTCTTAAATATTAACTGTGGTGGACTGGAACTGCTATATAATAATTTTTAATATGGTATGTCACCTAGTCAGTGAGGTGAAGTTACTGTACGGGAAAGTCTAATAACTCAATATAAGTGAATTAATGCATTGGTCTAGCTGAATAGGGGGCTGTTGGAAAAACATGTAGGAAAGCAACACAATGGATCCTGACAAACAGACTCCCAAGAAATACTTAGTGGGAAATTACAGGATGATGGACTACTTCCAGACTCCAGCCCAGATTAACACAACTGTGTTGCAAGTGCTGCGAGCCGACAGTTCAGAGGGCTATAAACAATAAAAAATGACTTAGTCTCTGGGCAGGGGGGTGATGAAAAAGATTGAGCAGCTTTTAAAGGACACCTCTCTGAAGCAGGGGGAAAGGAATTGTCTTTTAAGGGAACAGATTATGCCACCCGGACGCTAATGCTCTCTGTGTTGGGAGAGGAGGGGAGGTAGGAACCTTATACCTAACAGGATCCCCTGCTGAGGTAATCATGGGCCTGGTCCACACTAACCCCCCACTTCGAACTAAGGTACGCAACTTCAGCTATGTTAATAACGTAGCTGAAGTCGAAGTACCTTAGTTCGAACTTACTGCGGGTCCAGACGCGGCAGGCAGGCTCCCCCATCGATGCCGCGTACTCCTCTCGCCGAGCTGGAGTACCGGCGTCGACGGCGAGCACTTCCGGGATCAATCCGGGATCGATTTATCGCGTCTAGACAAGATGCGATAAATCAATCCCAGAAGATCGATTGCTTACCGCCGGACCCGGAGGTAAGTATAGACCTACCCATGGTTAGCACCTGGGGACTGCTCCTCAAGGCATGGTCGGAGAGTGGAAGAATCGTGTAATTCCACTCCGAGAGAGATGATAGCTTGAGGCCCAAGATGTGAGAGGTGTATGTACTCAAAGAGGAGTCAGAGATGTAGTTAGACCAGTACATGGAGATCTTGCTCTCTATCTGTATAGACATCACTCAGAAACAAACGACTTTCATAAAACTAATACACTTGTTTACACCTATTTATATAGAATAGTTCAAAGGAGCAAGGCCAGATCTTGAAAGATTCTGTTGTCTATTAGTTCTTTATCAGTAAGTACACTATCACCTAATAATAAAAAAACCCGATACATTAAAAATGCTTTCAGAAATAGGTAATACATATCAGAATAATAAAGCATTTTATTGGAGCCTCATCATTTTATTATCTTAATCTGACTGCAGTGGAAGCATGAGGTTATGTGCATTCAGTCCAGATATTTGGCCACAACCAAGGCAGACCTAGGATTACCATTGCTATTGGAAGGAACTTGAAAAGGATCAACAGTTTTTTAAAGAGGGATTGAATTTAACAGTTAGAATTCTCAGAAATAGTTTTAGTCAGGATCTTAGTGTGTGGCCCCCATGGTAACTGGCACTCTATACTGAGATTAGCGTGTGGATATTTCCCACCTATGTTTTCAGCTAACACTAATACAGTAAATCAGAGCTTTTAGAAACATTTGCCAATAATGTGGCATTTTCCCCTATGAAAACACGTTATCTTTCATCTATTAGACTCCTAACACTTTGTCTCTGAATTATTTTTTTTTATAATAGGGTACAATAACTTACTCTGTTCCTTGATTTTTCTGCCAGTTACTTTCAGTCTAATAGGTATATTTTTTGCTTAGCACGTTTCATCCATACATCTCAAGGTGCTTCAACAAAGATGGACAAGTATCTTCAGGTAAAATTTTCAAAAGCGCATAAGTGATTTAGGCGCATAACTCCTACTGAAAAGCAATGGAACTTAGGCTCTAAAGTCACTTAGATCATTTTCAGAACTCTACCCATTCTGCCTATTTTTTTAACTGAGGCACAGAGAAGTTAAGTGACTTGCCCAAGGTCACACTGGAATTCTGTGGCAGAGTGAGGAATTGGACCCAAACAGTGCTCACAGTATGGAGAAAAAAGTTGGAGGGACCCTGAATGTCAAGCAGCTTGCTTTTTAATTTAAATAGTAGTGAGAAGCAAGGGGGTCCCAAGACAGAAGTCCGGTAGCCCCTAGAACAGGGGTCGGCAACCTTTCAGAAGTGGTGTGCTGAGTCTTCATTTATTCACTCTGATTTAAGGTTTCGCGTGCCAGTAATACATTTAAATATTTTTAGAGGTCTCTTTCTATAAGTCTATAACATATAACTAAACTATTGTTGTATGTAAAGTAAATAAGGTTTAGAAAATGTTTAAGAAGCTTCATTTAAAATTAAATTAAAATGCAGAGCCCCCCAGAATGGTGGCCAGGACTCAGGCAGTGTGAGTGCCACTGAAAATCAGCTCGCCTGCTGCCTTCGGCATGCGTGCCATAGGTTGCCTACCCCTGCCCTAGAAGAAGTAAGGGGGCCCAGAGTCCTGCAACCGTCCTGTAATTCAAAAACTAGACCCAGACCTTCTGAGTCTGTGTGCAGATCCTTAACTGAAAGACCATCCCTCTTCTCTGAACATTGTCTAAATAGAATAATATGAGACTATTTATTGATTTTTGTGGTCTGAAAGAATAGATACATATATAAGCAAAAAAAAATTGATATCTGATAATTACTCAACATTTTGCCATCTGAATAATTCATTCTTGGGCAGAGATAACACCGATCCTCAGCAAGTCATCCAAGACCCAGGAGCTGCCCTATAGATAGTGTCAATACTCTAGAAAGTCTGCCTGATTGCTTCTTATCATGTGTTCATGGATTCACTGCCCTTGAATGGTCCATGCCCACTTGCGGCCTGTAAAAAGTGTGCTTTTCAGAATTAGCTCACGGGAAGTCAGTGTACCTGGACTCCAGTTCTGGTAACTTGGAACAGGCATTGAAAGCTGAATCACAGTGTTCAGACTTGGTTTCCTGAAGTAAGGAATAGCAACCAGTAGCCTGATTCTCAGTGGTGCTGAGCATTGAAGTCAGTGGGGGTCTCTGGATGTTCAGCGTCTATGGAAATGCTGAACTTCAGATCACTTAAATAAGTGCCTGAATATGAGTTTAACCATAAACTTGTGAAACTTTTACTCTTAATGTTTTGCATTTTCTCTTAACTTGTCTGTTCTTGTTCTGTTTCAGCTCAGACAGGAAGACAGACTCTCAGTTTGCAGCAAATTATGCTATGCAATAGGAGGTGCTCCAAACCAAGTTGCAACAAGTGCCACTGCTTTTTTTCTACAGATCTACCTGTTAGATATAGCACATGTAAGTAATGTGCAAAGTGCTTCCTGGCGCCAACTTTGTTCAATTGCGATGTCATCACCTACTTAATTTTCCTGTATCTAATATTAAGATAATTCAACTAATATACCTTTTAAACTATATTCTGTTGTTGTTTTTAATTGTTCAGCCCCCGTTGAAACTCTTTTGAGCTTAGTGACAAAACTTATTTAGTAATTATGCTTGATAAATGTAATAGTGTCGAGATTGGATGGTAATGGTGCTTGATTAGCTGGTCCCTATTAGTTTAATTGTTTGTCAGTCCCACTAAATAAACACGAAGGAGCCATTTGTTCCACAGTTTCTCCAGCAAAGGTCTGAGCTCCACTTTTTCCCCCTCCCCTCAACTTTTTAGGGGTCACATACCTCATTTTACAGGGATTACGTGGAATTCTTCCCCACACAGAGGATTGAGCCATTCTCTTCCAAATCCTGGCTGTGCTGTTCCTGTGGGATTACGAAGCCCTCTATGCGAAATCTTTTATATTCAATCTGAGCCATTTCCCAAGAAATTAACATTCATAGTTAACCCTTTGCAGCCTTCAATTTTACTATTAGAATTCCATCCATCTAATTTACCCTCATAACCTATCTAGGTATGTATATAATCCCACACCACCTAGAAACCTTGGACCAAATTCAGAATTGCTGTAACGAACTACGAATTGCACGCTCTTATAAGCAGGTGTGAATTTGTCCCTGTTGTATTTTAATATTTGTATCATTGTGTTTAGGGCCCTGGTCATGGTAAGCACTGTGCAAACACGTATACAGAGATAGATCCCATGCTAGAAAGTTTATAATCTCTCCAAGTTTCCCTTCCCACTCTATGAGCTAGTCCAGAATTCATTTCCTTGCTATCCCATTGTGTTATCTGAGCAATGCCAGTGCATGAACCTTTTCATCTGAAGCTGTCTGTGTGCCCCTCATCACCATAGTATCTGAGCACCTGTATCTGTATCTCTTTGGCTCATTGACTATCTCATTTCTAATTTCAGTCGAAGTTTATACCTTTTATCCCTCATCCATGCCTCTTAAATCCCTTCTCCTGCTGTTATCTAGTGGAGCTGGATGGAAAATAGCAAATATTTTTGGTGGAAAAAATTCAAAAGAAATGATTTTTTTTTAAGTTGGGGAGAACATTTTTCAGTTTTTTCAAAGGGGAAAAACCCAAATATTTGCATAAATTTGTTTAAGAATAAAGACCATTTTTTGTTGTTGGAAAAAAGTTTGGATGGAAAATTTTCAACCAGCTCTTATTTAATATTAAACTTTTCAATCGCTATGATTTAACTCTAACATAGCTTGGGATAAATTTTGTATGAGACATGCACTGCAAATGTTTGCAGTGTCTGCCTTTAACAAATCATGCTGTATATCCTTGATGTTTCAAACCTTATCCTCACTTTGTCTGTCTTTGCTCTTCCCTTCCTATTGAAACTGTGAAGAGCAGAAGATTTCGTAGGCAGTCTCGTTAGGCAGCTCCAGTCTCAATAAAGGTTTTGTTTTTTAAAGCAATGTGGCTTGAGCAAAACCGATGATATGCATATTGAAATGACTCTAGTCACTTAGCTTGGTGGCAAGGCAATGCTAGAGTAACTACAGCAGATCCTACCTCAGGTGCCCCCTGCTCTCTTTCACCCCCCATGACTCTGTTGTTTATATGTGAATTCTTGCACGCAGTACAGATATACACCTCTACCCCGATATAACGATGTCCTCGGGAGCCAAAAAATCTTACTGCGTTATAGGTGAAACCACGTTATATCGAACTTGCTTTGATCCGCCAGAGTGCACAGTCCCGCCCCCCCGGATCTCTGCTTTACCGCGTTATATCCGAATTCATGTTATATCGGGTCGTGTTATATTGGGGTAGAGGTGTATGTAGGGATGACTACATCCCACATAATTAATCATAATCTGAAAAATACACACTTGCTTGGTAAATTTCTTTTTTTTCCATTTGATTTTTTTTTTAATGTGGGAAAACTTTAAAATGTGCTTCATTTGACCAATGTGCTCTCTTCTGTTCTTTGGCATATACTGGATTTAAAGGTAACAGTTTACATTATTCACTTGTGACCCTAACTGCAACTGTTATTAAAAAACAAACAAACTAGATGTGTTCCAAGTTATTCAAATTAATCTTACTCAGGTTTAGTTGGAAAAAAAGTTGCATACAGAAATGTTGTACAGAAAATACAGAATAAGCATTCAGAAGAAACGGTATTATTTTGGAATATTAACTCTAGTAATCACAGTTCAGTTCTTTGTAGAAATAAGCCCATCATGCCAAAACCACTTTCACAATTAGCACCAGTTGGCACTCTTATAGGTAATCTCAGTAGAGATACTAAGGACTGAATGGGCATGGGAAATGAACTATACTCTTGTCTGCTCCAGCTCAGGAGCAGAAATTTAGAAATGGGGTCTTGTGGGAGAAGCTTACCTTACCTCTACTTCTGCTGTACCTGGTTTTATGATTAAACCACAGACTTCAGTCTCCAGTGTTGTCTGGCTGACACCTCTTCCCCGCATTAAATTCACCTATGATCTTTCTCTCCTGGCCTTTTCCCCGTCACACACATTCTCTCTTGCATAGTACCTGTATCTCAGTGTCTAGTTTGTTGTCTTCCAACATGCATTGATGGTGGAGGGCTAGTTATTCATGATTTTTAATAGTAGTCGATGTGTGTTGTAAGTGAGTTGTCACTACACTTTACATAAAACACTGAGATCCTTTTTGGAAAGTTGCTTTATGTTGTTTCATTGAATGCTGGATCTTGTTTAGAGCACTGTGTCTATACTTTCAGATTACTCCGTTTCATGCCTCTTTGGTGCTGTTCATTGGCAAAGCCTGGGGTGCAGTTACTGATCCTGTTGCTGGCTTTTTTATTAGCAAAAGTAAATGGACAAAAATTGGCCGGCTTATGCCTTGGTAAGCAGAAAATATTTTGTTCTGTTTCTTGTTTTTTCCCCCCTCTTTCCTTTAATCCTAGAATGGCGTCATTGAATTAAACCTTTTTTGTTTTGTTTTTGCTTTTGCCTTTCTCAAATGAGACTGATTTTAGTATGGATAGAATGAATATGTAAAAAAACCCCACTCCTGTCTGCTTAGAGGATTGGGCCAAAAGAAACCTGATGAGGTTCAACAAGGACAAGTGCAGAGTCCTGCACTTAGGACGGAAGAATCCCATGCACTGTTACAGACTAGGGACCGAATGGCTAGGAAGCAATTCTGCAGAAAAGGACCTAGGGGTTACAGTGCCCTTGTTGCCAAGAAGGCTAACGGCATTTTGGGCTGTATAAGTAGGGGCATTGCCAGCAGATTGAGGGACGTGATCATTCCCCTCTATTCGACATTGGTGAGGCCTCATCTGGAGTACTGTGTCCAGTTTTGGGCCCCACACTACAAGAAGGATGTGGAAAAATTGTAAAGAGTCCAGCGGAGGGCAACAAAAATGATTAGGGGGCTGGAGCACATGACTTAAGAGGAGAGGCTGAGGGAACTGGGATTGTTTAATCTGCAGAAGAGAAGAATGAGGGGGGATTTGATAGTTGCTTTCAATTACCTGAAAGGGGGTTCCAAAGAGGATGGATCTAGACTGTTCTCAGTGGTACTTGATGACAGAACAAGGAGTAATGGTCTCAAATTGCAGTTGGGGAGGTTTAGGTTGGATATTAGGAAAAACTTTTTCACTAGGAGGGTGGTGAAGCACTGGAATGGGTTACCTAGGGAGGTGGTGGAATCTCCTTCCTTAGAGGTTTTTAAGGTCAGGCTTGACAAAGCCCTGGCTGGGATGATTTAGTTGGGAATTGGTCCTGCTTTGAGCAGGGGGTTGGACTAGATGACCTCCTGAGGTCCCTTCCAACCCTGATATTCTATGATTCTATGATTCCTGTTTTCAGCTGCACAGCCATAAAATTACAACAAGCGGCTTTCTTGGAAGCTCCCTGAAGAAACCACTCAATTGTTTAGAGATGGGCCGAAACTGGAACCTCAAATCCAAAATCCTGTTGAATGTGGGTGGGAGAGGATCTGAACCTCCAGATCTGACCAAACCCCTTTGTGGTTTTGATTCTGAGTTGGATTCTGCATCAAAAGGGGCTTATTTTCCACTTCTGGTTCAGATACATCCAAACTGTTGGAAGACTGGCCATTTGTTAGATACTTGTTTGAGCCCTCACTCCGGCACTGCACCCATCTCAATGGGTTCCCATCCTTGCATGCACGCTTGGCTGGAGCTCACCAACTCTAACATGGTAGGCCTAGGGACCCAACAGGGTATGTCTCAGGCCACCTTGCTGAGCTGCTTGCACTGCCCTAGTGGTCAGTTCCGTTCTCATCACGGGCAGTGCAGGATCTTCCCCATGTCAGCATTCATCCCAGCTCAACACAAGCCAGTCCCACCGGCCATTTCCCCACACCTCTCGGTACTCTTTCTTTACGTCTTCACTATCAGCCCCCCTAATTAAAACATTTAATTGGAGGGTGAAAATTGTCATGATTTTTAACAAGGAACCAACTGCTGGAAGAGTTTGGAGCTGCCAACATTGTTTCAGAACTTCATTTCCCCTTTTCATACTCCCACCTCAAGCAGCTAAGTGTGGTGTAGCTGCAGCTCCAGCATGCTCAGGGGCTCCGGTCCTGCTTGCATTACTCTCCTCTGAAGCACACTAAAGCCCTTAGACAGCTCTCGCTCTATTTTGACCTTCACTAAATCTATATGTAACAATGAAAAGCAAGTATCACGTACACTTTTCATGTGGTGTAAGGAAGGAGGAGGTATACCCTAGTGTTGAACAGAAATATAAATATTACCAGAAGGAGGGAGAAAGGTGGGAGTGTAAACTGGAAAAGAATGATGCATGTTAGAGGACCCAAACTCTCCCATGATGTGTTGTGGATTCTTTTTTCCTTTTAAAAACAAAAAGAAACAGGATGGCTTATGGACTCTGGAGTCTGTTGCTTTTGTCACTGATTTCAGTCTCATAGATTCAAAGAAGCTACTGTCAGAGTATTTGAGTTAGTGACTAGACCTGTGCAAATAACTGATTCTCTCCCCCCACCCCCCTCCAGTTTGTTGGCCAACTGGAAAATTAAAAACAAATTAACAAAAAAGAAATCCAAGTTGACCCAAAAGAAAAAAATTAAATTTTTAGTGAACTGAAAAAGTTTCAGGTTGAATAAAACATTTAGTTTAGCAGGAATGGTGTCCCTAGCCTCTGTTTGCCAGAAGCTGGGAATGAGCAACAGGGGATGGATCACTTGATGATTACCTGTTCTGTTCATTCCCTCTGGGGCACCTGGCACTGGCCACTGTCGGAAGACAGGATACTGGGCTAGATGGAACTTTGGTCTGACCCAGTAGGGCCGTTCTTATGTCCTCATGTTTGAAGGAATTATTTTTTTACCTTTTTAAAATAAAGTTGAAGTAAAATTTCAAATGAAAAATTGTTTTGAATTGAAAAGTCAAAATACTTTGTTCATTCATGAGCACTAAACTCACTGTATGAAAAAAATTAAGCTAGAAGATCATGATGAGGTAGGGTGCATTTTATAATAACCCAGTGGAATTAGCTGTTTTCGGAATCATTTCTCAGTTCTGTTATATCCTGTAAATACTGTCTGTTCAGGACAAAGAATAGTGTTAGAATGACTCTCAGCCTAGCATCACATAGACTTATCACCCCCTTGCATTAAACTCCCTAGTGTACAACTTGCACTTACACTTCACTTATCTAATCAGGCCTTTAAAATACGCTTGTCAAACAGCCATTGTTTTTCTGGAGGAATGTTTTTTAAATGTTGTATTATCACGGAAAACTCTTTAGCCCTATAGTATACAGCACTGCCCATTTACACCAATTGAAGACCTGGTATTGTATTTCTAATTAGCTTAAAACACCTTTTCTTGGGGTTTGATTTGATTAATATTTGTAGAGTGTAATTATTACAGCCATTTAAGTTTTTAAAGTGAACTAGGTAATTATGCAAACTTCACTCCTTGCTCCATCTGACAGGTGTATTTAATAAAGGAGGAGTAGATTTTTTTATTAAAAAAAAAGGTTAAGGTTTTATTTAATACAGTAACAAGCCATCAAAATGTTGGTAGTCTCCTTTGTACGGAGTGTGATGTTTCAAAGGAATGAGCAGGTGCTGGGATAAAGGATACTAACACAAAATGTTACACATTAGTTTCCTTGCAGGAGGAACCACAGATAGTCTTGTGATTCAGCAAGGCATTGAATCGCATGCCTAACTTTAAGCATGAATATTGAAGTGAATGGGGAAGGGAAAGTGAAGGGTAGGAAGGGGGAAAAACAAGAAAGACAGTTATTTTTGTGAAATAGCACAAAAGTTTGCTGTAAGAACCATTTTGGGGACAGGGAGGGTGAGTTTCCCCAACCTAATTGCCTTGGGATGCTTACATCACATCCTCGTTTACTGCTTCAAGAGCTGCCCCAGTCTGAGCGAACTGAGCTGTGACCTAGAAACCAGGAAAGGCAGAGAGTACCAGAACCTGGCTACTTTCCTGGCTACTCTACACATTCAGCTCCCAGTGTTGCCTTTCATCCCATAGAGCAGTGTGGAAGAGCCATTGTTTTGCTGAACTATTTACCTACATTATTCTTTTGTAGTCCACTTTTCCAATACACCATTGCAAAATAATCAGCTGACCCCTAACGTCAATAGGAGAAAACAGTGAGAATAGCCCTGTTGTGAAGGGATTAATCTGTTTTCTCTTTTGTTTGAATTTTTATTGTGACCTTGGTCATCTAATTGCGTTGTTTAATGTCTGCTTTGCAAGAATACTGGAGAACACTGCTGCTGCAGGTCATGCTGTGGGGAATGAATTGCATTTGATACAATGAAATTTGAAAATAGTGTTGTTTGTCTGATAGCCTTATATTAACTTGGCATATTGCTGTCTAGTGGCTATACTTGAATTCAAGTTTCCATGATATTGTTTTAAAACCATCCTTACTCATTAGGGGGCTGATCCTGCTGCTGTTGGAGTCATTGGGAGTTTTGCCACTGACTTAAATGGGAGCAGGCTTGGCGCTACAATCGTATTTCACAGGGATGGACAAACGTAGGTCCTAGGCAGTTCTACAACGTGATGCATGGCTGCCCCTCACCTATCACACTGAAATGTCAGGTCAGCAGTGAAAAGGCTAAGCTGAGAGGAGAGTTGGAAGTGCCAAGAGGGGGGAAAAAAGACCCTTGATAATAAAGAGGCTTGTATTGGCAGGTGGTGAAGCATGTTATAACATGTGACCATGTGGCTTGGTTCTCAGTGGTGCTTTTCAGTAAAGGTCTCGGGGTGCGTGTTGGGACTAAGTATTGACCTTGTGGTTATACCATAATAGCAGATGCAGGTTTTTTTCCCCTGTTAATTGTAAATACATCATTAATTATAACTAACCTTTGCTCTTTTCCTTTAACTAACTATATTATATAACTCTGGGGTGTGTTTTGGGGGCGTACGATTTAATATTGTTATGTATTGAATTGTGCTGATTATGCATTAATGGACTGAATAGTATTATATATAAACTGTGTCAAATAGTGCATCTAAAGCATTTTGAAAGACTACACAAAATTAAGTTACTGCTTAAGTAGGTGCTGGGAAAATTAATTTCTTTTTTTGTCAACCCACCAAGATGCTTTCTAATTAAGGTGACATGAACATGTTCTTCATTGTAGGATGTTGGGGTGTACGCCCTTCACGATTGTGTCCTATTTCTTCATGTGGTACTTGCCTCCTTTTGTAGCGGGAAGAGTTGTGTGGTACCTGACTTTCTATTGTCTTTTCCAAGCATTGACGACAGTAAGTAGATCTAGATTTACAACATTCTGAGCAATAAAATGCTTTCATTTTCTGGCTTTGCTTTATGTGCCTTCTGATTTAGTGGGTTGGGGGTTTTTGCACCCAGTTTGCACATTGACTTTCAGTGAGACTTAGAGTTCTAAGTGCCGAAACTACTTTTAAAAATGGGATTTAGGTATGTAAGTCACTTATTGCGTTTGGAAGGCAATGGAGAATCAGGCCCTCAGTTGTGAAATAGTTACTAATAGTCATTCTTGGATATCCCTGAATGGGGAGGCTTGACTTCTCCACATTGATTTTAACATGAAGGGGCCTTGCACCAGGTTAGCGGCAATATGTAATTTATGTATCATCTTTCATTTCAGTGGATTCCAAAGCACTTTTCTGACAGACTGCATGCCAGGGGTAATCAATAAGTGGACCGCGGGCCAAATCCGGACCACCAGACACTTTTGAACAGATCCCAAAATCTTCTTATTTAGTTATTGTTATCATTATCGTCAGGGCTTAAATTCAGCTGGAGCTGTATATTTCAACCCCCCTGGAGTTTTTAAAGCATGTTGGGGGTTGTGGGGGGCTCCGGGAAATACTCTGTGAGAATTTAAGCCCTGATTATCCTTATTTTTTTTATTATTTTCTCTGGAGTCTGGACCTTTACTATACCTTGGCCAAGAAATTAGGACCTTGACAAAAAATAATTGACTACCCCTGCATGCACATATGGGGTTCACTTCACCCATCACTGAATTGCAGCCACTATTAAGGTGAAATATGGTATCTGTTTAGCAGCACAGAGTAACACTATGCAGCAGTTTAGGACAGGAAGTGAAGAATCATATACAACTCGATTTTCAGGGGAAGTCAGGTAGGCCCAATGTAGTTTTCCAGTTGGATTTTTGCCAGCACATTGGACTTAACGGCTCTCCTCTAATAATAAGTGCTGTCAGATCTGTTAGGGATGCTTGGGTTTACATCTCATACAAAATATTGTAGCTTTGAAAGTTCATGCACCTAACAACCTGCTGGCATGCTTCTGATTCAGAGCTTGTCTACACAGCAAGTTATTACACTGCAAGCCAGGGTGTGACTCTACAGAGCACCGCATGGATGCTGCTGCAGCCCAGTGAAAGTCCTGGAGCAGTACATTCATAACTAAGCCACGCTCCAGGATTTTCACTGTGCTATAGCAGCGCCCAGATGGGACATTACTGTATGATAAGCTGGTGCGCTGTAGATTCACATCCTGGCTTTCAGCACAGTAACTTGTGTAGACAAGCCCTCAGAGGAACTCCACCTGTGGCGGCATCAGTACCACTTTCTACAGCACGTGGGGCTTTCCTAGAGCAGAATCTCTCGGTCTGTGGTAAGCCGAGTCCAGGTGATGTGCAAAACAAGAACCAGGTTGTGAGAGGACACATGCACAGGAGAAGGCATGCGTGTATGTGAATCTCTATTACAAAGTAATCTGCAGATTTAAAAAGCTGGAAAAGCACTAGCTGAGAGCTCTCTGTCCAAATATCAACCTGGCCTGACCTTGCTTAACTGATTAAATCTCATCTACATCGCAGTTTAAAGTAGTGTGGCTGCAGGCCACCAAAATACTTGAACTCCTGAGTGACTTGGACTTTTGTCATTCATGCAGATCACTGGAAGTTTAAGGGTCTGCTATATTTCAGTTTATGGTTGGAGTATTAGCTCAATTCCTTTGTTATTTTCTATGATGATAGATTGTCATTAAGAAACCCACAGTGAGTTTAAATGAGGAAGAATTTTATTCCCTGTCTTTTGACGGAAAAGATCTACTCCGCCCTTATAAAATGCTATTCGTGATTTCAGCTTTGAAGCCTGTTTGTACTGAACGTAAGGCATCAGGGCTAGTCAGAAAGAAGGTTTTAGTTACAGCTCAGTAAGAAAACATCAACATTTGCCACATGTAACAGAGGAAAGTATGCACTTTGCGTGAATAGGGTAGCATATGTCCTTCCCAGACATGTTCTCTCCTATTTTATCACATAAAGGGACAAAGGCAAGTCCTGTTGGTTTAAAGCACAAGATTGGGAGTCAAGAGGTCTGGTTTCTCTTTCCAGCTTTGCTGAAGACCAGCTCTGTGAATCTGGGCAACTGGTTTTATCGCTGTGCCTCTGTTTTCCCTTTAATAAAATAGGCATATTATTACTTACTTATCTTATAAAGAGGACGGTGGTGTGTATTTATTTACATAGCACTGGAAGCTTATTAGATGCTTCCAATAAATATATAGGTGAGGTCACTGTCTCAAAGGGTTTGCCATCTAAATAGGCAACAGAGAATAGGATGGCTAGGGACAAGAGTAAATGCTAGAGCTGGAATATTGAGCATACATGTTGTTTCAAAATTTTGGAAGTGATTTTTGTTTTAGTTTAAAACTTCGAGGTGAGAATTTACACTATATCTTTACTGCCAAAAAGGTATGTGTTTTACAGCAAGATAACTAACTCTCTCCTATTAGGAAATGCTAGTAGTAACCAAACTCTGTAGCGTTTACCACAGTGTAGCTGCATGAGGCCAACCATGAGCATAGGCGCCGACTCCGTGGGTGCTCCGGGGCTGGAGCACCCATGGGGAAAAATTGGAGGGTGCTCTGCACCCACCGGCAGCTCCCTGCCCCACCCTCCTGGACCCCAGCTCACCTCCGCCTCCGCTCCACCTCCTCCCCTGAGCACGCCGCTGAGTCCTGCTTCTCCCCCCTCCCTCCCAGCGCTTGCGCCGTGAAACAGCTGTTTAACATGGCAAGCGGTGGGAGGGAGAGGGAGGAGGAGGAACACGGCACGCTCGGGGAAGAGGCGGGGCCGGGGCGGGGATTTGGGGAGGGGTCCAATAAGGGCAGCGAGGAGGCGGAGTCGGGACGGGGGCGGGGACGGGGGCGAGCACCCACCGGCGCCAAGGAAAGTTGGTGTCTGTGGCCATGAGTGGTGTGGTTATAGTGCTGACCTAACCTAGCTACATCACAGAAAAAACTACAGAGTCTTTTGGCCACTAGGATTTTACTTTGGGATAACTAACACACAGTAGTTATCTTGCTGTAAAACAAACAAAAAGACTTTCTTGGCCGTGAAGACAGCCTTAGGCAGTGTCTTCACCAGGAAAAAAGGTGCGTTCTTTGTGTTCACTAGGATTTTACCTAATGTTAGTTAAGAACACGGCTTTTTTCCTAGTGAAGACAATCCCTAAGGGTTTTTGGCATCCTGAAAGGAGAGTGGTTTTTAAGGAGGAAATTGAAGGAGCACAAAGCGGAGGCATGGTGTACTGGTAACGTTACTTATTATTTATGTGACCGTAGCACCTTGGAGCCCTAGTCATGGACCAGGACTCGATTGTGCTAGATGTTGGATAAACACAGAACAAAAAGACGGTCCCTGTTCCAGAGATCTTATAGTCTGAGTAAGGGAGCAAATTCCTGTGCCCAATTACACATTGTTCCAGGCTATCAGAGGAACTGAGTACGCTACCCTGTAATGCTTTCCTATGTGGTGTTCTTTCTTTATGTAGTTATTCCAAGTACCGTATTCTGCTCTCACCATGTTTCTCAGCCCAGACCAGAAGGAGAGAGATTCAGCAACAGCATACCGTGAGTTTGACATGGGCTTCTTGTTTTAAATTTAGTGTCTGAGTTTGGTTAAAATCCCTTTTATTGAAAGAAGTCTCCTGACATTTGTGTGGCCTAATATTGGGTTTCTAGACAAAGAATTATTAGGCTCTGATGGAAAAATGGGGCATCATAGGGGTTTTTTTTTAATGTGCCTTGTAAATATTTCCATCTTCCTTCATGTTTTACAACTGTTAGCCTGTTGGATTAGCCACAGACTTTCCTCCCAGGACATAAGTTAGCCACAAGAAACTACTCTTATGTATAGTGTTTTCTGGATTTCTAAAGCCAGTTGTTGCTATATGAGTAATGGTTGCTAATTATAGGTGAGCTGCAGAGGGGAAAAATTGGTGTTGATTATTTTTATAATGACATTTAAATAAGGCCTGAAAGTCTCTTTTTTTTCCTTTGTGCCTTCTTTGGATATTTTACAGTAGAAATTCAGGTCTTGTCTAATCCGTTTTTCATAGAAGACTTTGTGGGTGACAGGACAGCTGGTAGACTTGACATCATAGAACCAAGAAAATTAAATGTGACTTGTTTTGGTTAAACTCATTCAACTGTAACACCCATCAAATAGTTTGGAAGAAAGACCTCTGTTAAAACAGTCAGTTGATCATAGAATCATATAAATGTAGGTCTGGAAGGGAACTTGAGATGTCATGTAATCCAGCCCCTTGCTGAGGCAGGACCAAGTATAGACCTCTTGTCTTCCAAAAAGTTCTCCAGGAAAACCATACAAGACTTGCTGTTCCTTTTGTTTTAAAGCTAAAGGGAAAAAAAGTCTTAAAACCCCCTTTCAAGCTTTCTTTATACATCATAAAGAGCAAATAAGGGCACAGTTAATTTTCCCTCCTCTTCACATCAGCTTTAAAGTTGTCATTTCCCTCCTTCCCCCCCCCCCCGGGTCTCTCCCCCTTATATGTGAGTATAACAGTCCATTCCTAGGTATCCTGGCCAAAAGCAGTGAAAGTGAAGAGAAAGCCTGCTATTTTCCTTGGGCCAAATTACTCAAGCTCTACATGAAAAACTATGTCTTGACTTGGCCTTCAATATTCCCTTAGTGCGCTTCGAATTACATGACAGATTTTTTTGGGGTGGGGGATTGCTTTTGTTTTTTTATTTTATTTTATTTTTTCCCTGTTTGTGCTTGTTTTCTTACTGGCAGGAGGCTTTCTTCCTCCATTTGTCAATCTAATCCTCAACATGCTGGCTAGACTAAATGTAAAACAAAACTGTGTAAGCAGAATGGTATGGCCAAGTTTTTGAACAGACACAAATCCGAAATTTCAGAGTTATGGTACCCACAGCATCCATAACTCTTCCCTGAGGTCCAGTACATATGTGATATTTCATGTTATCTAATATTTCAACAGGAAGCATGGTCTAGTAATTAAAGGACAGGATTGGGAATTGGGAGATCAGAGTTCTGTTCATATAGACAGACTGTGGGAGAAAAGGGAATAAACTTTGGGAAAGTCACTTAAACAGTATGCCTTAATTCCCATCTGCAAATTTAGCATAATACTTACCTCGCAGGGATGGTATGACACCTGTACATTAATATCTTTGAACTCCTGAAAGGCAGCATGTATAGACAGTGTTATCTTATTGTTTATGATTGGGTTTTATATGTCCAGTTGTGCAGTGCAGCCAAGTTATGGCAGTGGCATGAATAATAACTTTGAATTTCCTGACTTGTGTGTGTGGGTTTTTTTTAAATATTTCTTTGGCGCAGAGATTTCTTGCAGTGCTGACGTTGACAAGGGAAATGGTCTCTTTTTACAAGGTCTTCTCAAAAACATTCCCCTCTTGCTCCTCTGCCTGATCCAAAGATCACTGTTTTTGTTTGTAACCTCTAGAACATCAGCTAAAAGAATCTGTTAAAGAAAAAAATGCAATGTAATATATGATAGTGTGCTTTTTAATAACATTGAGGCTATGGCTTCACTCCAGCTTAAGTCGACATAAATTATGTCGCTCAGGCATGTGAATTAGCCACCCCCTTGAGCGACATAATTTATGCCGACTTAAGCGCTGGTGTGGATAGTGCTATGTGAGCAGGAGAGCTTCTCCCGTTGTCATAGCTACTGCTGCTCGCTTGTAGGGGCTGGAGTAATTAAGCTGACAGGAGAGCTCTCTATTGTACCCATAGCCTGAGAAACAGAGGTACCACTGCCCTCTACTGGAAGAAGTAGAACTCCTTAACCATGTCAGTTCTATACTGCTGCCCACTATGTGAATGCATGACAAAGGTAGATACTTTCAAAGTTATTTTAAGGCAAGTTCTACTTAAATTTAAGAAGTAGAACCTACCTTAAAACAGCTTTGAAAGCACTATTTTCTTGGCTAAGCTAGAAATTAACCATTAAAATGTAATAGATTATAGCTCACAATGACTTTGAAATATGCCACCTTTTCAGCCCAACACTGCTTAGAAAAGAAAATGCATTTGCAGGTGAATTTCTATTGCATCTTATGATGGCTTTCTTCTTATCATATGCAAGCATTAGGTACAGCACACCTTCACTAGCCACTATAGAGGTTACAAATGAAGAGGTGGCATTATGATACAGTGCTGTGACTCATCTCATAGCAGATGACAGAACAAGGAGTAATAGTCTCAAGTTGCAGTGGGGGAGGTTTAGGTTGGATATTAGGAAAAACTTTTTCACTAGGATGGTGGTGAAGCACTGGAATGGGTTACCTAGGGAGGTGGTGGAATCTCCTTCCTTAGAGGTTTTTAAGGTCAGGCTTGACAAAGCCCTGGCTGGGATGATTTAGTTGGGGATTGGTCCTGCTTTGAGCAGGGGGCTGGACTAGATGACCTCCTGAGGTCCCTTCCAACCCTGATATTCTATGATTCAATGATCTGTAGTTACCCATTGCACCAGATGCTCAGCGATTTTTGAAGCTCTGCATGGTATGTCCAACTGAAATTTTAGATTAGGTTACAGCCAAATATTTTAGGTCAGACTCATATTTGGATCTGAGCTAGCCAGCACTTTTGGTCAGCCAGTCAAGTTGGGAGTGAAATTTGGGGTTGGTGACTTAACCTGAATCAAGAAAACACGTCAGGTGACCCATAAGATCACATCCTCCATTCCACGGTCCTCTCTGTTTGAGAAGTTAGCAGCAGTTGCTGGAAAGTCCCACACTGTGGAGAATGAAAGCTCAAAACAGGAAACCTCTCTGTCTCTCTTAAGTAATGGCTCTGCACCGTCTTTCATCTAAACCCAAACAAGAGTACTCATAACACACATTTGAAACAAAAATTCTCTTTACACAAATCAGGAACTATCTCTTTAAGTCATGCATGTTTGGAAACTGAATCCAGTTTGGCGGGATGCAATAACGAGAAACCTGAATTTCAGATTTGTGCTCAGCACAGCAGACTTTAAGTCAGTAATGTCTAAGCAACCCAGTTTAGGGGGAAAGAGGATGCTATAGCTATATTAATTATGCATCACTTAGAGTCAGTGATGGTCCATGGATCACAGTTTGAGAAATGATGAACTAGGCAAACATGGCATTATAAAATGAGAGAACTGACTGGCTTGATCTCTCTGGAGGCTTTTCATTTAATGCTATAATACTGAGATGTAATGGATTTATCATTCTCTAGATCCTTAAAATGATGCTGCTCCTAAGATACTTGTCTCCATGGTGGAGGTAACTCCTGCCCCAAGACAGGCGAACAAGTTAGTTAATTCACACAGGTCATTTCCTACCAGACAGAAGGAGAGTATTCAGATACCCTGGAGCTTTTGGGCTGATTGAGGGGATGGTATTCAATTTTGTGATGGCATCAGCTGCTGTCGTCACCAGTAGAAGTTGCTCTGATTTAAAAACCACAAAACAAAACAAAAAGAGGCCCCGCTTTGCCTCCAGCATTTATAAATTAAAAACACTTTTTATATAAGGGGGGAGTCGCACTCAGAGGCGTGCTATGTGAAAGGGGTCACCAGTACAAAGGTTTGAGAACCACCGTCTATAGTAATATAGAGGTGGTCAGAGAATGGGAGGTGGAATTCCAACTCCATCAAGGGATGCCGACCAGTTGTAACTGATGTTCAAGTTCTGCTGGTTTTGTTGGTGCCATTTGTGAATGTTCCCTGTGTAAAAGGAACATCGCTTGCCTCAATCAGTTCACTCTTCAGTGAGAGAAACAGCCAGGCTTAGTAACAGCGGGTGAAACAAGCTCACCTCCTAACACATGTTTCTGCTTCCTGTTACAGGAATGACTGTGGAAGTGCTTGGAACCTTGATGGGAGCTGCGCTCCACGGGCAGATTGTGGCAAGCGCCCATGCCTCTGATCACTGCACCGTGAATCTCACCATAAACGCTGCCGACTCTTCCAGTTCTCTAAGTAACGCTTCCAACCTGGCTGAGCCCTTGGGCCTCCAGTCTCATGGAGTAAGTGCATGCGGTACGAGGACACTAAAATCCCTAGGGGAGGTTGCAGTGGTGTTACAGCACATCATCCTGCGGGATATACATGAGGCTGACATGCTTAAGGGTGGTGACATCAGAACCAAGACAGATGCATCATTTTGAACAAGCCTTGCTGTCTGTTCTGTTTTTAATTGCTTCTTAGCGCGACAACCAAATTATGCTGAGGAGCTTTGCTGAAGATGTTGAGACATATGGATGCTGAGGAGGTGTATGGCCACCTTTTCTCTCCCCTAAAGACTGGCTTGCTGTTTAAAATGGAAGCCTAATTAACAGGGCTGTCAATTAGCTGCCGTTAACGCGTGCGATTAACGCACAGCACACTTAACGCATTAATTTTTTTAACGCGCTTTAATTGCAGACCCTCTGGGCAGGAGGGCAGCATCAGCTGCTGCAGAGAACCTATGTCTGGTCAGGTGCAGTAACGCAAGCTGCCATTGGAGAGTGGGAAGAGAAGGGGCTAGAGAAAGACGTGGTTCTCATCCCAGCCACGGAGGAGTAGCGATCTTGACCCCCCTCCAGGGTGACCATATTTCTTAAAGTAAAAACAGGATGACCAAGGGCTCATCTAAGCCGCCCCCCACTTTGCAGGGCTCACCCGAGCCACCCTCCCCATGCCTCCCAGGGCCGGGGCTAACTCCCCCCCACCCCGTGCCGCCCGCATCTGGGGCTGAGTCCTGTACTGCCGCATCTGGGGCTGCCCCCCCCAAGCTCCCCACTACCCACGGCGGGGTCTCCCCCCCGTCCCAGCTGTATGCCGGCCACAGCTGGGGCTAGGGCTGACCCCACTCCTGAGCCCCGTGCTGCCTGCAGCTGGGGCTGACCCCAAGCCCCGGGCCGCCTCTCTACTCCTACTTGAGATTCCTCTGTTTATCCATCCCAGGATTTATTTTACCTACATATTTGGTACTGGTGCAACCAATGCTGGAATATTGTGTCCAGTTCTGGTGCCTGCAATTCAAGAAGGATATTGATAAATTGGAGAGGGTTCAGAGAAGAGCCATGATAACGATTAAAGGATTAGAAAACCTGCCTTATAGTGATGAACTCAAGGAGCTCAATCTACTTAGCTTAACAAGGAGAAGGTTAAGTGGCTTGATTACAGTCTATAAGTATCTACGTGCAGAACAAATATTTAAGAATGGGCTCTTCAGTCTATGAGAGAAAGGTTTAACACTATCCAATAGCTAGACAAATTCAGACTGGAAATAAGGTGTAAATTTTAGATTGTGTGGGTACTTAACCATTGGAACAACTTACCGAGGGGCGCAGTGATTCGCCGTCACTGACAATTATTAAATCAAGGTTGGACATTTTTCTAAAAGATATACTAGGAATTATTTTGGGGAAGTTCTATAGCAGTGTTTCTCAAACTGGGGTCGCCACTTGTGTAGGGAAAGCCCCTGGCGGGCCGGGCCGGTTTGTTTACCTGCCCCGTCCGCAGGTCCGGCCGATTGCGGCTCCCACTGGCCGCGGTTCGCTGCTCCAGGCCAATGGGAGCTGCTGGAAGCGGCGCGGGCCGAGGGACTTACTGGCCGCTGCTTCCAGCAGCCCCCATTGGCCTGCAGCGGCGAACCACGGCCAATGGGAGCTGCGATCGGCTGGACCTGCGGACGGGACAGGTAAACAAATCGGCCTGGCCTGCCAGGGTCTTTCCCTACACAAGCGGCGACCCCAGTTTGAGAAACACTATCTATAGCATGTGTTATACAGGAGGTCAGACTAGATGATCACAATGGTCCTTTCTGGCCTTGGAATCTATGAAACAGTGAATGTGCTCACATCACAAAATTGCCATACAAATTGACTAGTCTCTGCACAAGAGGTTTTCAAGAGAGGACTGGCTGGAGGTGTGGCAGGGCAGGATTGAAGTGCACTGGCAGCCTTTTGCCTTGCGGTGACTGTTTTCATTAGTGCTGTTGAGTAACCCCAGTCTTTGAAATCCCCTAAACAGCATTAAAGAAAAGAACCAGACATGAATAAAAAATCTGAGGTCATGTGGGAATGTTTGTGTGTGAAAATCCTACTCACGTGCATTATTGGGGCAGGGGGATATTGTGGGTAGAAAGAGTTGTTTTGCAAAGTGTTGAGCTCCAAGTGATTTTATCCTCAAAATTACAAAAAAAAAGATAATGTGGAGGACAAGAAGTAGTTGGGGCCAAATCTTAATTGTCTCCATTTCAGGGATGTGACCCCACTGTTTTAGTCACATGAGGTTCTTCTGACTGTGCCAGAGGGGAAAGCACAATGACAGACAAACAAAATAGCCACAATAATTAGCTATGACTCCCCCCCCTTACTTTAATAATATAATAACAAAAAACAAAACAGAACACAACCAGTAAGCAACGGCTACTACAGATACAATCTCTTCTGTATGTATTTCAGTGACGAGCTCTCAACCGAGATTAGACCAGTGATACTCAGACCTCAGTGGTTCGGGAGCCAAATTAGTGATCAGTATTGCCCCAAAGAGCCACAGTAGTGTGAATTCATTGTTTCATTCTCACAGCAAAATGGCTGGCTAAGTATTATTATTTTATCAATTACAATTGGTTAATAACATAGTAAAAGCATCCTCATTGATTAATAACTTAGATTGGTTCATAATTAAATCACACAGTGTTTTAATATCATGTGCTGTAAAGAGCCTCAGGAGACACATTAAGGAACCACTTGTGACTCGCGAACTTCAGACTGAGTATCACTGGATTAGTCCTTAAGAAGGGGTTCACCCCCAGTGGGAACACTCTTCTTTAGGAGAATTAAGACCGAAGTACATTTTCCCAAAATCAGTATGGAGGCCTGTCTCAGTGTGTCATAAATAACTAAAACAATTTATAGACGGGCTAAGGAATTTCATTTAAGGATCAGTGAATCCTGTTTGATTTGTCGTGGATAACCTAACCACTTTATACCTGGGCAAAGATAAAGAAAGCATTTAACTCAGTTACTTAAAAGGAAGCCATTCAAGGAGCAGTTTTGAGACAGGAAAATTAATAAATATTCAAGAATCTTAAATTCAAAGTACAGTAGAACCTCAGAGGTACAAACACCAGAGTTACAAACTGACCAGTCAACCACACACATCATTTGGAACCAGAAGTACACAGTCAGGCAGCAGCAAAGACCAAAAAAAATACGGTACAGTACTGTGTTAAATGTAAACTACTAAAAAGAAATAAAAGGAAAGTTCTAAAAAAAAATGATTTGACAAGATAATGAAACTGTTTCTGTGCTTGTTTCATTTAAATTAAGATGGTTAAAAGCAGCATATTTCTTCTGCATAGTAAAGTGTCGAAGCCGTATTAAGTCACTATTCAGTTGTAAACTTTTGAAAGAATAACTATAACATTTTGTTCAAAGGTACAGACATTTCAGAGTTACGAACAATCTCCATTCCCGAGGTGTTCGTAACTGAGGTTCTACTGTAAATCCTGCTTTTTTTTCTCTTTTTACCAAGATTAACTCATGTATCCTTTTGGAGTTCACAGTCAAAGCAATCTAGTGTTTAATAGGAGAAGCTGTTAATGCCTTACATTACAATAGGATTTCAATAGTCCATTAAAATTATTACAAGAAACAACTCTAATCCCTTGGCAATGCTCTTGCAGACTCTATCTCACCAACGATGCTGAAGTCTCAATGATGTTTTCGTGCTGCAGAAGCAGTGCTGAGCTGGAAGGTTGCTGCTTCTTGATGCTGTGTTGTTGCTTCTTTATTCTTCTTAGCTGTCTGGTTGCTGCTGTGTGCTTGCTTGTAGAGATGAGGTGGCCAGGCTGAACTGAGCGCATAAGAAAGCGGAACCATGTAAGAGCATAAGAGCACATAAGAGTTTGTAAGAACAAGCATGAGAGTGCATGTCCCACTTCCAAGGAATTTATACTCTTCTCTTTGCATAGTCTCACTGAAGGTGGAAGAAGCACACCTTTCAGGGCCTGGCTGGATTCAGATATCAGATGCTGTTACATTTCATTGGCTTATCACCTTCATGGGATTGCCTTAGTAGCATCTTCATCTCATGAATATGCAGTCTGTTAACGCACATGCAGTAGAGCTGTAATTCTTCAGCTTTATAGTTGTATTGATTTTTGGCTTTGTGGCAGGAAATTCTCAGAACATCTTTAGAGTTTTTACTCCCTTTTATTCAGTTCATTTTCTGAGAGATTCCTTTAGCTCCATCAAGGTTTTGAAATTGTTTCATATAAGTCAAAACGCAGTCCAAAAAGTATTTTAGCTGTTAAAATAGTCTTTTTTTAGTTTAAATTATTATTCAAAAGAGTCTTTAAACTTAAATGGTCATCAAATAAGGTATTGTCTTTTCTTAACAATCTTTGCAGATGTTTTTCTTGTCTTTTTTGAGTTTGGCAAGATGTTTAAGCTTTGCCAGGTAACTGATTAATTCCCCAGTGAATATCAATATTTTATACTCAGATGGTTTCTTATATTAACCTGCTATACCATTCAAATGACCTTGCTATACTTGTACATAAAAAATCTTACGAGTCACATAATAGTAGTCTCAGGAAGTTACTATTTGAAGAGCTAGTTTTAGATACAAATCATTTGCAAATACACATCTCAAAGGAAGCATATAACATCTTAAACAGTTGAGGGACAGATGGGTTTTCCCCATCAAGAGGAAAGATGAGTCAGAATTAACCAATATCTTCTGTAAAACAGTTCCCAGCCATAAATATTCTCCTAGAAGTTTAAAGAATGAAGATGTTAAAGTTTTATAAAAGAAATCAGTTTTGATTAGGATATCTCTAGAATTCTTTGTGTGGGATTTAAAACTAAAGCTTTTCTCTCTGTAAAGACGGAGAAAGAGGCCCAGTTTTATGCCTTAGTCTACAGCTCTGAAAACACATCCGAAGCATATCTCCTTCTCATGAATAAAGAACAGCCTTACATTCATGTATACAGCCGTCTCTTTCTCAAACATAAATAGCTTACAAAGTTTGGGGGAGGGGTTTAGATAAAGATTATGTCTGTACCAAACTTTTATCTTGTACATGGGGGAGATAGCCTGTTCTTTGAGAAGATGCCATTGTTAGTTAATGGGCTTTTTTTGACCAAATGGTTCCTAGATTTGCAACCTACCATTTGTAGTATATTTATAGGCTTGGCAGAACTTTATTTTTTGATAATTTCAATGGCTAATATCAATGTTTACTTTTTAAGCATTTTTTTCCTACTTTTATCAATTTAAATTTTCACAGTTGCACAATTTATGGGTTTTTGGCATTTTTTCTATTTTAATCTATTTAAATGTTCGTGGTTGCAAGAAAATTATGGGGGGAAGTACAGCTGGGGGGTCAGACAGTAATTATTTGTTGACTAGACAATGAGATTCAAAAAGTTAAAGTGCTGTAACTGTTAAAACACAAATTGTCAACATCATATAATGTCAAAATATACAAAGTAAATATGCTTAAATCAAACTTTAATGATTTCTCAAGCAGTATTAGTAAGGCTTTTGTTACTGTCTCACATGACTTTCTCATAGACAAACTAGGGAAATATAGCCTAGACAAACCTACTATAAGGTGGATGCACAACTGGTTGGAAAACCGTATTCAGAGAATAGCCTGACACTTGTCATTACTCTCTTTGATTGAGACAGCAGAGATTTCCTAGGAATATCCTTAATTAGTTTGAACATTTTCATTTAATTAAATAAATATAAGCTACCAAAAACATAAGAATGTGAGCTTTATAGTCTCCAAGCATCAGTGTATAAGAGTAATTGTAAATATCTCCTAAAATTCAGTAAAGGTGAAATCAAGACTGGAACATCATACACATAAATTATAATAATTTTATTAACTAATTTTGCATCTGTATTGAGGTCTCGCCCATAGAGTATGAAGACATATTGGCTGCAGTGTGCTGACCACAAAATCTGTAGCTAGATTAATCTCATTTGCAAAAATTCCGAACCATCCGACGCATGCTGCATATCTCTGACAGACGAATGTATATGTCTATCGCTAGTCTCAACATAGTTGCTTTTATATAAACATGTCCTGGCTGCTGACATACTAGACCTTCTGTTCATGGCCGTTTTACTTTTTGGTAGAAATTTATACTTACAGGTCCTGGATTTATCCTGAAGTAAATTTTATTTGTAAATAGTCTGCAGCCGTGAAAGTTCTTCACACAAAGAAGAAGAGCACACAGCTGGCTGTACGTACCTGGGAAGTTCTCCAGTTCCAGCCAAGCAACCAGAGAAAGACTGAGATTTTCAAAAGTGACTAGTTATTCTGGGGGCTTGTCTTCGCTACAACAGTTAGCTCATGTTAGAACACTTGAGCTCGCCTAGCTCCAGTGAGAGCGACCACACTTCAGAACTACACTGGAGTTTCATAGAGTGATTGGATTAGCAGCACAGAGTGATTGGTTTAACTACTTATGAGTTGTTGTAACCTCTTCACTTGCTTGAGTCTCAGCATCACTCAAGGTTCAAACTTGGCCCATGGGCCAGCTACCTTGAGTTTAGAGCATCACTCAATTTGAGCTAGAGATTTTTGTGTGTAGATGGGAGTTGGATTAGGGGTAACACTCAAGTATAACTTGAGCTAACTGTGCTGTGAAGACACACGCTGAGTGCCTTAATTTTTGGATGCTCAACAGAAGAAACTTTAAAGGGGTCTAATTTTCTGAGCGTGGGTGCTCCGCACTTTCTGAAAGTCAGTGTCTTGAAATCTAGCTATTGCTTACTTATGGTCCCTATTACTGTATTACCCAGGTGCCTCACAATCTGTAATGTATTTATCCTCACAACACTCCTGTTAGGCAAGGAAATGCTATTTCCCCCTTTATACAGATGGGGAACTGTGGCAAAGAGAAACTAAGTGACTTGCCTCAGATCACGCAGAAGGTCTGTGGTGGAGCAGGGAGTTGAATCCAGGTCGCGCCAGTCCTAGGCTAGCATCTTAACCACTGGACCGTCCTTTCTCTCCGTTGGGCACCCTGACACTGAGGTATCCAAAATCATTAGTCACTTTTGACAGTCTTAGCCCTGGTCCATAAGCAGTGCTGTTAGAAATGTGGTTTCGAGGTATAATAGCCAAGGCAGTAGTTAGCCTACCATAGCCAGTGCTTAATTTGTGCCAGGGCTTGCCCGGGCTGAGCCCCGGCACTTCTAGGCTTGGCAGTTCATAGCCCCAGCACCTCTGGGTTTGCTGCATCAGTTATGAATATAAAAAACTTGTTTGAGCCCCGGCACGTCTTTCATTACAAATTAAGCACTGACTATAGCTGACTTAATTGGAAGGTGTGGATGCTCAGCAGCACTGGGGATTGGGGCCTGCTATTGTTACAGATAAATATGAGATGTCAAAAGCAGGGCTGGTTTTGTTTTTCCAAAAATATTGTCAAGGTCAGCTCACAGCTGGGCCTCACCTTACCTTAACCTGAAAAATTTGAGGGAGCCAGGGTTCCCCATAATGGTCGTAACTTGTGCTAACCCCTGGAAAATGTCACTCTGTCCTTCATAAAACTGTAGCCTGCTCTGGCCAAATGAATAGGACGCTTATATCCTAACATGACACAATCCCCATTGTTTTGTATGTAAATCTTGCCCATGCTAGTATTAAAATTATTTCTATCTAGGATCTGTAATTTGTCTTTCCTCAATGTAGTGTTCCGTTCACTTTTGTTGAGCCGGAGCAGTGCGATCAGGCTTTTACAGTCCTTATCTGTAATAAGTCTCTTTCCTTTTAAAGAGAGAAGTCTACATGATTGCAGCGGGAGTAATAGGAGGGGTGTATCTATTCGGCATTGTCATCCTTTTCATTGGAGTAAAGGAGAGAGACGGTAAGTTAAATTCAAATACATCTGGGTTTCAAAGTGATTCTTTCACACTTAGCTTTGGAAAATATGACATTATTTTATGTATTCCACCCCTTATAGATCCTTACGCCTTAAATTCAGACAAAGCAATTCCTTTCTTTAAGGGACTGAGACTCACAATGAAGCACGGTCCGTACTTGAAGCTTACAGCTTCGTTTCTTCTCATCTCAACAGCCGTTCAGGTAACTCCAGTCTTTGCAAGTCCATGCATCGGACTTGTTCTACCCACAGCATGAAAGAGTAAGAAGCAGCAGCTGGAATATAAATAGCCCTAGACTTGCAAGTAGAGCTGGTGATTCGGTAGATTGTGTTTTCCCCTCTGAGTCAATATGGAACTAATGCCCTGCGGTCATGCTAAGGGGCATTGTGCTGCTGGAGGTAATGTCTTTCAAACAAGAAATAAAACCTAAAGCCCTGACCACTTATTAAAGATTCTCTGGCTTTTTTTCATAAAAGGCCCAGTTTGGCTAATTATATTCTACCTACCTAAAATCCCCTAGTTTCAACCAGCTAGGGAATGCTTTTTCACTTCTCCCAAAGCTGTTCTACAGCTGTGCTGCAATAAACCATTGCCCCATTCCTTTCCCTATGTGACTGTGTTTTAGTAGTGTCTGAAGTGGTTCCTATAGAGTATTTTGTGAAGGAAGGCACTATGTAAGTGTAAGATGATATTCCATCATCTAGGCATACAGTACTCGTTCTAGTTATAACTAGAGCCACAAAATTCAGATCTGGATCGCCTGCTGTATTTCAAACCTCCCAAAAGAAATACAGTGAGGCAGCAGCACATTGATAGATGTTGTATAAAAACCTGAAACTGATAGATTCTCAACCCACATTCCCCAAAGTTCAGTTCTATTTTGATCCAGAATTTTGAGATCTGTGCTCATCTCCATTAATCATTTAAGTGTGTTTCCTTCACATTCATTACCTTAATCATTAGGCCCCTAACAAATTCCTGGCCATGAAAAACACGTCATGGATTGTGAAATCTGGTCTCCCCCATGAAATCTGGTCTTTTGTGTAGTTTTACCTTATACTGTACAGATTTCACCAGTGTTTCTCAAACTGCGGGTGCTGACCCAAAAGAGGGTCGGAGGGGGGGGGTTTGCAAGGTTATTGTAGGGGGGTCACTGTATTGCCACCCTTACTTCTGTGCTGCTGCATCCTTCAGAGCTGAGCGGCTGGAGAGTGGCGGCTGCTGGCCGAGGGCCCAGCTCTGAAGGCAGCAGCGCAGCAGTAAGGGTGGCAATACCATACCCTGCCTTCCTTACTTCTGCGCTACTGCTGGAGGTGGTGCTGCCTTCAGAGCTGGGCTCCTGGCCAGCAGCCACTGCTCTCCAGCCACCCCATCCCCAACAATACCCTTGCAACCGTTCCAGCCCCCTTTCGGATCAGGACTTCTACAATTACAACAATGTGAAATTTCAGATTTAAATATCTGAAATAATGAAATTTATGATTTTTTAAATCCTATGATTGTGAAATTGACCAAAATGGACCGTGAATTTGATAGGGCCCTATTAATCATCGTCTTTATTGTTTTTAAAGCACATTATAATATCCATGTTTTTGACACTAGTCCATTAGTCACATGAACCATCAGTCAGCCAGCGCTGTGACATTATGATAAGAGTTATGCTTATAATGTACTCATACTTTGTTTGCCAACTGTCCTGGCGAATTAATAAGTCCTGTGGAAAGATTGTCTCTCCTCCACGGCTTGTGCTTATCACAAAGGACCTCTGAAAATATGTTTGCCAAGAAATAGCCACATTTCCTGTTGGCATGGATTTGAGTCTAGTTAGCAAGGCTTCCTTGTTGTGCATCTGACAGTTTTTGCTTGAGGGAAAGTCCTGAGAGTGAGAGACAGTAACATAGCATCTCCCCTCACATCAAATAATGTAGTCCGTGTAAGTGACAACAGGCGAGGGAAGATTAAGGTAGACTCCTTGGGATCCAAACCCTTACAGCACTCACTCACTTAGTCAGGATGTGGCCTGGCATGGCACACAGTCACCTGCAGACAGACAGTCACCTATTGACAACACCCAGGGAGGAGGAGGTGCACCTCCTCCTCCATCTTGTACCCTCAGGTCTCAAAGAGGTGGGGGAAGGCAGGCAGCAGCTGGGAGCTCTCTTGCTCCAACGTGGCTGGTATGTGCAGCACAGGCTGTTTTGGAGTGGGGGCAGAGGGTGAAAGGATAGGGGACATAGTTCTGGTGGATCTGATCCCAATATGGTGTTTTTCCACATCTGATATGAGAGCACAGCAGACTATGGCACAAGCTGGAGACGGCATTGGGGAAGGGGGAGGGGGCAGAAATCGCCCCACGGATACTCGGCCTAAATTGTACATAAACAAAAAAGCTGTTGATAATTTCTTGGCCCTCAAAGGAACAGTAGTTCATCAAGCTTCCATGCAAGACACGGATTCTTCTCTAGGCCTTCCACCTTCCCAAAATAATCAGAGATGGGTCTGGACCAGGAATTCAGTTCCAAGCCTCGCCCAGAACTCTCAAAATCCTGGATGATAATTCTTGTGACTCACCTATCTGTATAATAGACAGGAACTGGATCCTCCAACCCAAACAGTACCCAAACTTGTGGGCATTTCTGATCCTGAGCCAGGGCCCATGTACAAATATAAGCAACATGATTAAGCCACTATGCAGGGCCGCCCAGACGGGGGTGGGGGGCAAGTGGGGCAATTTGCCCCAGCCCCCCATGAGAATATAGTATTCTATAGTATTGCAATTTTTTTTTATGGAAGGGGCCCCCGAAATTGCTTTGCCCCAGGCCCCCTGAATCCTCTGGGCGGCCCTGCCACTCTGGATTAGTTACTGCACTTCAGAGGGTTGCCATGATTAATTTCAGCTGAGGGGGACAGTAAATTGCTTAGGAGCCATTAATTAAAAGATGCATGGTATTACTGTCTAAGAGGCAGTCTGTGGAAGGGGAGTGCAACTTTTTTCACAAACTGCTCTCTGTAACTAACCAGTTACAATACGCAAACTCCAAGGTTGCAAATAGACTCCTCTCCCCTTCCAATAAACTAGTCTTCCATATTGCAACCTACTAGTTTGCTACATTCAGGGCCTGATCCGTCTGACATTACTCCATTGTCTTCAGTGGAGTTACTTCTGATTTAAACTGGCGAGAGCAGAATCAGGTCCTAAAAGCTTGGATTTATTTGATAACTGATTTTGTTATAGGTGATGTAACGAAATTCTTTTTGATGTTGTCTTCATCTCTCAGCTTGAGCAGAGCAATTTTGTCCTGTTTTGCACCCATGCAGCCAGTCTTCACAATCACTTCCAGTATTTAGTGGTGACCATCTTGGTGAGTTGCACTGAAACAAATGAGCGTTTTTTTCGGGGAGCTTTGTTTCTTTGACAGAGGGGGTTGTTCAATGAAGCAGCTTGCATCTAAGCAACTCAGGTTAAGTGACTACAAATTGCTAGCATCTGCTGGCTGTTGGAATGAGTTTGATCACCATCCCATTCCTAACGGACATCGTGGAACTTTTAGGGAGGGGAAAGGTCTGGAATATTCAATTTATTCCTTGGTGTTCACCTGTACCTACGAGCCACTTCCTGCCTCTTGAAAAGGTGAACCATTGTGCATGAAGGGAGGTCTGGAATTTTAGCTTCTGTTTCCCTCTCACCAGTCTGATATGCCGAGAATTAAACAAGTTTCCCTTGTGCATTCATACATGTGGGCCCTCTGTGCCAGGCAACCTGCAAGGATAAATATTTAAAGTATTCACAGATGATGTGAATTTCTGTATAAAGGCATCAGTGCTGCTTCACAGATACCTTTACTGAGCCCTCTTCCTTAGCGCTTTTGGGTGGAGTTCTGTCCAGCCTTACTTACATGGGTGATCCTCTTGCAACCAAGCTAGAAATTGCTCCTGTAATGCATGCCTCCCTCTGAGTGTATGTTGGTGAAATGCTGCAGCTCTCATGCTTCTGATTAAAGCCCTCCGAGCACAAATAGAAAGTTTAATGTGTAATTGCTGGGGTATCTGTCTGCTGAAAATGCTTCATGTAGACCTTTCCCTTTCCTTTGTCTGGCCTATTAAGTGCTGTACCAACCTTTGTCAGAGAAGCTCCTGCTTGCTCCCCTCTTGGGCCTGGCTTCTGCCAGGGGGACTGTTTGGGGTATCTGAGAGGAGCCTTCATTGTTTCCATTTTGCCCCCCCCTTCCTCTTCAACCCTTTTAATGCTTCCTTTCTTATACTAAAGCACTGCAAAGGCTGATATTTTCCAGTGACTAAAATTAATAAGAGGTGGAGCAAAGGCTCACTTCTGCAAGTGCTGGTCCCTGTATATATTCCACTGTGGGCTATGCATGCACTCCATGTGCTTGAGACTGGATGATTCTTGTTAGTAGTGTCCCTTGGTCCTCATATGCACTCTTTCCCTCCTTGTGCTCTGATCTGAGGGTGTAAGCTGCCATGTGGACCAACTGCGTCTCCAGTTCCTTGTTACTGTTTCATGGGCTGAGTCTGAACTGGACTGTTCTGTCTTCCAGCTCATGTAAGCCCAAATCCTGATGTCCAGAGGGCTGATCCAAACCTGTAAATTTTATAAACTGTAAATATTGAATATAAAAATTCTTAGTTAGTTTATTAGATAATTAGGTTTTGGGGAACACGCCCCCCTTCCCAGTATGGGATCCAGTTATGGGCAGGATTCTGGCCTTCAAGAACTGTGTCTCCTGTCCCTGTTCCTTCCCAAGGCAATGATCACCAGATATGCCTCTACTGCTTCAGAGAAGCTCATATCTCTGCTAAGTACAGTATCTGTCACTCCTCCCCACCCTGTGTAGTATTAAATTTAAATATATGGAGATATACCTATCTCCTAGAACTGGAAGGGACCCTGAAAGGTCATCAAGTCTAGCCCCCTGCCTTCACTAGCAGGACCAAGTACTGTTTTTTGCCCCAGATCCCTAAGTGGCCCCCTCAAGGACTGAACTCACAATGCTGGGTTTAGTAGGCCAATGCTCAAACCACCGAGCTATCCCTCCCCCCAAACATTTTATGTTTGTAACATTTTATGTTTGTATTTTGTATAATTTAAAATAAAGAATAATAATGTGGTATGTATTAAACTTATTGGTGTATGATTTGATCATATCCTGCCAGCCACCCTTTTTAAATAGCAAAAAGGAATGGCCTAATGGGCCATTGGTAGGGATACATCAGCCAGAATCTGTGTCTGGACTAATTTCAAGGCAGTAACAGATCCTTTGAGGGTCACCAATTTGTTGTAGGTTTAGCATTTTAAAATAAGTGAAGGAATGCCATGATTGTTTTCTTTTGCATTGCAATTTGATGTTCCTGTTCAAAATGTGCTGTGTAAATTAATTCTGTTTTGTGCAGTAACGACGAATGTGTGGGTTAAGAAATAAGTGTGAAGGCCATTGCTGAACCAGATGGTCTAGGGAGGAGCTGGAGACAGACACAAGGGCGCCAGGAGGCTGCAACACGCCCCTATTCAAAGCAGGGCAAATTAACGACTCTAAAAATAAGACAGGCAATGGGAACAAAATAGCGGTAATAAAAACCAGCATGGAATAACTCCCTAAAAAACTTAATAAAAAAATAATAATAAATTAAAAAAAAAAAAAACAAGCACTTGTCAAACAACAATTGATTACCGCATGACGGTGCAAAACTCATTGGTCCCTATGAATGAAAATCACTATATAAACAGGGTGCCCTGCCATGAAACTTTGGGTTCATCCTGCCAAGACTTCCCCGGAGCATCGTGTCACGACCGACAGAACCGGGCTCCTCCCTACTCATGATCAACCTAGCTGGCCACTAGATTGATCTGGACTCTGAACTGGTAACTATAACATCGACTGGCGGGACAAGCATGGGCGTTCAGACTTAGGAAACACCTCATGGAACTAGACTGCACTGCACAGTGGTTGGAGGCATTGAGGAGCACGCTGCCCAGCACTAGCACTTCAGACACAGTGACAGGCAAAGGTAGAGCCAAGCATTCCTCCTCTCAGCCCTCCTCTAAACTGGGTGACTTTTCAAACCTCGGCCAGGGAAACTCAAAAACCCATCAAGGTCATGGTACCGACCCATAGGCTGCAAAGACAGAGGGCGCCTCCCCTTCAGCACCGTCGGCAGCAGCAGGACCATTGGTGCTGAGTCAAGAGACGCATGAGCCTAGACAGTCTGACCTCCGCTACTAGCAAAGGGGCCATTGGTACTGATGCACACTTCTGAGCCAACACTGAAGGTTAAAAGGGAGAAGACGCCTCATGGGGGCAAATATACCCTTTCGGAGGACATCACCATCCTGCCAGATCTGGAATCTCCCACCTTATCAGGCCCAATTCTTACAAGGGAGATCATGACACTGTCGTTCCATGAACTTTATGAAAGAAGCTGATCTCCTGTTCCCCTTACTAGTCAGGGTATTTCACCTTTGGAGATGGAGCCCATGTTCTCTTCGCCAGGCAATTCTGATATGGGAGAAGGACCGTCATCAGTTCCCCGGCAGTTCTCTGCAAACTCCGCCCCTGACTTCCTGCAACCATCGCTCCTCAGATACAGGGCGAGGGATCCCTGTACAGGGAGCTGCTCCTCCATCTGCCCAAACCCCATGCATCTAGACCCCCTCATACTCAGACCCTCCTGCAGAGCCTCACCCCCCCTGCACTCAGAACCCCCCCGATGAGCCCTACTCCCCCTGCATGTGGACCACCCTGATGAGCCACCCAGATCCCCACCTCACCAAGCCCCAGCCAGCTACACCTGGATTCCCACCCCACTGAGCCCCACTCTCCTAGCATCTGGACCCCACACTGAGCCCCAACCCCCCTCACCTGGACCCCCCTGCAGAGTCCCATTACTGTTGCATCCAGAACCCCCAAACAAGCCCCTGTGCATCCAGATTCTCCCCCCCCCCACCAGATCCACCACTGAGCCGCCTGCACCCAGATTGCCCCACACAGAACCCTCTCAAACCACACCGGATTCCCCCCACACTAAGCCCCTCCACACTTGGATCCTGCCTGCCCACACCTGGTGCACCTGACACGGAGAGGCAGGGCCCTGGGGTGTTTCTGGGGCAGGCCCGGTCCTTGTGCTGTGTCAGGGTTGGGTGCAGCCCCACAGCAGAGTCCATGTCCCCAGGGGGAACAGCACAATGATCTCCAAGCTCTGTGCAGCCAGTGACCTGTGCTCCCCAATGCCATGCTGGAGCCTCCACATTTATTTGACAAATAAAATTTGCAGAATTTTAAAATATTGTGTGTGGAATTTTAATTTTTTTTTTTTTTTGGTGCAGAATATTTATTTTTTTGGCGCAGAATGCCCTCAGGAATAACTAGGAATCTGCATGAATGTAGAAAAGTCCATTTCAGCTCCAACACAGACCACAAAATTCATTGGAGCAACTGTAGAAACAACCATGACCAGTTGGCCAGAGCTTACTTCCATATGGACAGATTTCAATCTATGAACATCCTGATCAATCAGCTGAGACAGCTCCCACAAACATCCTTGTCCTCCTGGGTTACATGGCATCTTGAACCTATGTGACACCATTCATGAGCCTCTGACTTGACTGTCTACAAGCCTGGTTTTGAGCAGTATATGTGCCAAGCAGGTACAGTATGGACCAGTTAGTTACAATTTGTGACGCTCTGTACCTCGGCGGAACACCCAGCACCCCCATGTTCATTCTTGTAAAATGATTGTGTGGTACCCAATGCAAAGTTTGTCATGTCAGGTGTCTTTGGAAGGCTCATGATGCACTGAGCATTGTTGTTAGAGTGATGTTATAGTAATTGTTGTTACGGTAATGTTATAGGTTATAATTTCATGTATATAGTTATGAGGCTGAAAATGTGTCTTTGTGGCTTAAAATAAGCCCAAGCAAAAACTCTCCAAGAGCAGATAGGCAGTTCACACCTCATCAGGGAATGTATGGGACAAACTCAGCCCAGCCTCACAGGAACAAAGGACGCTGGCCTAGGCAGCAACAAAAGGATTTTTTGGACTCTCGAGTGAGTCACCCCCTTCATTTGGTCAGTTTGGCACTGCGATGAGGTAATGCTCACCTGACTCTAAAGGGGGGGGGCAAAGCCAAGAGGGAAGAAAGGACATGATAAAAGAGAGAGATGTTTGCCATGCTCTTCCTCTCTCTTCCACCAACATCTACACACACCACACCAAGCGACTAAAGCGCTGATCAAAGCGAAGAGCCTGGCTGAAGAGCAACCAGACAGCCTGTGGTGAGAAGCATGTAAGTTTGTAAGGGCATTGAAAGTGTTAAGATCAGCTTAGAATGCGTTTTGTTTTTATTTCATTTGACCAAATCCGACTTGTTGTGCTTTGACTTATAATCACTTAAAATCTATCTTTCATAGTTAATAAATTTGTTCGTTTATTCTACCTGAAGCACTGCATTTGGTTTGAAGCGTGTCAGAGGGCTGGTCTACAATGGGGGGGGGATCGATCCAAGATACGCAACTTCAGCTACGCGAATAGCGTAGCTGAAGTCGAAGTATCTTGGATCGAATTACCTGGGGTCCAGACGGCGCGGAATCGATGGCCGCGGCTCCCCCGTCGACTGCGCTACCGCTGCTCGCTCTGGTGGAGTTCCGGAGTCGACGGTGAGCAAGTTCGGGGATCGATATATCGCATCTTAACGAGACGCGATATGTCAGTCCCGGATAAATCGATTGCTACCCGCCGATATGGCGGGTAGTGAAGACGTACCCAGAGACTCCCCTTGGGATAACAAGCCCTAGAGAGAGAAGGGCTACATGCAGGGTCGCAGTGAGCCTCTGAGGCTAGCATAAACTGCCTGGAAGCGCGGGACCCACGGGGACAAGGTTGGAGCTCTGCCACACTATATATATATATATAAATCTCTATATATCTATACACACAAGTTTTCAGATGTTTAAATGGAAGGCAGTAGCATGAAGTACAATTAAAATTTGCTGGGGGATGGACTGAATGACTTAGCATGTTATTTCTGTCTCTAATTTCTATGGCTTACGTTAAGAAAGGGAAAATTTAAGATGCTTATTTGGAGAAAATTTCTGTTCTTAAAATGTATTTGAATTGTCTCTCTATCACTTATCACTTGGGAACAGTGATTAGTCACTTATCACTTGGGACATTTAATAGTGCACTGGACAAATCACTGGGGAATGTACAGTATTCTTTTCTATTTAAATTCTTATATTGTACCCATCACCTTGGTGTTCTGTGTGTCTGCATGGGACAGTTCTGCATGGAAATGAGATGGATTAGATGACCTAATGAGTCTTTTTCATCTCTTATTTCTGTGATTCTTAGTTGTCTGTTAGCGGTGAAGGGAGCAGGAATCCCAGAGTCCTTCCTCAGTCCCAATCCTTCACATAGTACAATATAGGGTGTCACTGCAGCCTCTGGAGATGACCCTACACCTAGTCAGTACTGTACAAATATTTTTCCATCATTTATAGGTATCAGCAGCAGTGAGCATTCCATTCTGGCAGTGGTTTCTACAGCAATTTGGCAAGAAAAGTGCAGCATGTGGGATTTCCGTAAGTAAACCATTATGAAAATCTACGCAACGTGGCATCTTACGTCAATAGCAGCTTCTTCAGGAACCGTTCACAACTTTTGAATAAAAACCGACACCAGCTGAAGTTTGCCTGATTTCAGGGTTCATTTCAAACCTTGAATTGTACCAGTTCAGGCAAACGCCAAGTTTTTCAAAGAAATTTTCCAAGAGATGGGTTAGTGAGTGAAGACGAGATGCAAACTTGACCCAAAGTCTAACCAGGTTACACTTTGTATCTGTCTCATAGAGATGAACCTGAGCACAGAGTTTCAGATTCAGATCTGAACTGCCCTAAGTTCAAGGGCTATGTTATCTGAGATTTAGCTTGGCCAAATTTGATTGTTTCAGCTGACTAACTCAGTCATGGGGGAGGGAGTAGTGAAACCCTCGTGAACTGAATTGGGGGCAGATCTAGCACGAACCCCTTTGAACCAAAAGGATGAGCTTCCTGCAACGTTGGTTTTCCCTCTTCCTGCAAGTGTCCACAAAGTAAAATAAATAAATGAACTGCTAGCATCTTAGCGATCCCAGAGGAAAGAAGCCTAATTTAACGGTCACAGCTTCCCAGGGCAGAGCCAAGATGCCTGCCTGAGCTTTTGCTGATTTTTTTTTTTTAACCCCTAACTGAGGGCAAGCAGCAGAGAGAGTTCCCATTGCTATCTGCGTTGACTCCTCACTCTGGAGCTCAACTTGAGCTTTCAGCCTGGACACGTCATACAGGCTGAGGCACTTTAAGTCCCTGGGAAGGAGGCAAGGAAGAAACTGGGAGCTTTATGCAAAACTCTGCCTGTAGATGAGCCTTGGCACGGGCTGGATTTCTCCCCTGATTCTAGCTTTTTAAGAGTTATAACATTTTTAATAACCTCAAATACTTCACGGCTGGTGGTAGCTGTTGGTGTAACTAATAGCAGCAATTTGTTGAAGCTAAAATCTATATATTGCAGTGACGTCTGATGAATTGGAGATGGGCTGAAAACAAAACACTGGCTTCAAATACCTCTGATCTTTGGATGCTTTGAAATATGCATCTGAAATTCACAGTTCAGGACCATCCCTGCTTCTGACTAGCATGCCTCAAGGGAACAGAGTTACCTCCCAGGCACTGTCTACACAGCAAAGAAAAGTGCTTTCTTCAATCAAGTTGGCTCAATGAAGTCAGTTTACCATTATTGGAAAGCCCCCTCAACACAAACAAATCATGGTCTAGCACTTTTACCATTGTGTTAGCTAGTTGTGTTGTAGACTGTGAGGGAGCTGGATTGAAGAAAGCACCTTTTTTGCCATGTAGACACACCCTCGTATGGCGTGAGTACTTCCTGTTTGCTCGGTGAAAGTCTCTTGTCTGGCAGTGCATCCCAAAGGCTTCCTTCGCTGTAAGCTCAAGAGAACCTGTAGCTCTTATATCTGCTCACCGTCACTGTGAAAGCAGAATTGCCTCATTAATTGCAACTGTATTTCTGTCACTGTAGAAGGTTCTGAAAAAAAAAATCTGAAGAGAAGTGGTTTTCCTGCCATAATTTCAGCCCCCTTCAGGGTGAAGGGAAGAGGGACTTCTCTGAGGTGATTTGAAAATGGGATGGTTACCTGAAAAACTGAGCACCTGTATAGACTCAGCATTATAGTATAGTTCTTGTATTCAAGATGATGGACGTAGACTCCTTTTTTACCACTCCTCCTCATGTTTAAATTGGTTGGAGGGGGTGGCTTAGTGGTCTAAACACCAGGTCTATAATATCTAAATTTCCTGGAACTACAGGTTTAAACCTCACTAGAGTTAACCCAGCCCTTTGTCCATCTGGGGTAAAGAGATTGAGTTATGTGTGATGCATAGTTTTTTGGGTAGATATTTAAAAAATGGAGACCATTTCTGCTCCACGTGGGTGTTAAAGATCTCATGCAGTTCTTTCTGTAAAGGATTGCTCCAACATTCTTGGCCAAAATTTCCCTTCCCTCTGCCCCACTGTGCTATGCAAGTTACTACCGTTCGGCCACAGGTGACTCCATTTCCATAGTGCTGCTTGTCAATAGTTTGTGAAGTTCTTCTGGATGGGAGGCATGTTCTGACAATAGAATATTGCCGTTACTGCTCCTGGTGGGTCAGGTGCGAGGGGGAGAGTGATCACCTAAGGATTTAAAGGTCCTTTTGTTTTAGAAGTAGAAAAAATGAGATACATGGGATGCTTATTGCAGTGATATTTTCTGCAGCTTAGAGAACTCTGCTCCCACATTTCTGCCTTTGAACAAGAGATGCTTTTGAGAATTACCATTTCAGTTCTGCCTGTCCTGGGTCATGCTCCTTCCTCACTAGAAAAATCAATTTTAAATCAGTATTATTATTGATTTAAAAACCTCTCTGGATGCTCTGGCTCCCGAGTGGGCACACAACGTTGAGCACAGAGTTAATCGTCAAATTGTTTGCAGGCAATGTATGATCTTGTATTGCTGGAGTGCTCTCTTGTGGTGAAGTAATGATTGTGCTACAAGCATTGTAGGCTAATGCAAAGGCTGTTTATGCTGTTTGTAGTCTCGGAAGGTGGTTTGCTACTCCTTTGGGTTTACCAACAAATGCCTGTTCCTTAGATGGGAACTGCATTTAAAATGTAAGACAAGTGTCCCCTGTTTAAATGGATTAGATCCCAGCAGGCAAGATGTCCAAGATCACCGCTTTCCTTGCAGAAGAAATAAATAACAAGCGCAAAGTAGAAGCACCCTCACTGAAGTTCTCTGCTCATGCCCTCAGCCTCCCCAAGCCTCAAATATAGTGCAGAGAATCAAAATGAGCAACACAAACCCAAGAAGCTTTAAATGTTTGTTATTTAACATAAATTATATTTTCTGCAGACCTCAGCTTTGTGCTTTGTGACGCATTGTGTCAATTATTTACAGGAATGTGAGGTGATAGCACAAGACTGGTATGGACAACTGGGGAGTATGGCTTTTGAGTCCACATTTTAAATGAGGGAGTCTCTAACTCTTATTAGCCCATTGTTTCAAATGGAAGCGAAGATGCTAAGCACTGCTGAAAATCAAATCCAGGTCATCCAAATTTAGATTTCCAATTCTGGAAATGTGGGCCTTCGTGATTTACCCGAGGTTATATAGTGCAAGTCAGTGACAGACATGGGGAAGGTGGTGGGGTAAATTGTCCTACTGCTAGCCACTAGACCATATTGCCTCCCTAATGTTCGTTATTTATACTTAGTATCCAGGTTTTTGAAAAAGTCACTGAAGACCAAAGTGTGCCATAGCTCCTTGTAAATCAGTAATTGATTTTAAATCCAGACATGACTCAAAGCCCCTTGCAGTGCCTTGTCAGTACTGGAAGTGTTCCTGTTGTTGAAAATAAAGGGGAGATGGCAGCACTGGCTGACTTGTTCGGTTCTAAAATATTGACAGGTTTCAGAGTAGCAGCCGTGTTAGTCTGTATCCGCAAAAAGAACAGGAGTACTTGTGGCACCTTAGAGACTAACAAATTTATTAGAGCATAAGCTTTCGTGGGCTACAACCCACTTCTTCGGATGCATATTGAGTGAAACATATATCGAGGAGATATATATACACACATACAGAGAGCATGAACAGGTGGGAGTTGTCTTACCAACTTTGAGAGGCCAATTAAGTAAGAGAAAAAAAACTTTTGAAGTGATAATCAAGGTAGCCAAGTACAGACAGTTTGATAAGAAGCAAGTGTGAGAATACTTACAAGGGGAGATAGATTCAATGTTTGTAATGGCTCAGCCATTCCCAATCCCTATTTAGCCCTGAGTTGATTGTGTCTAGTTTGCATATCAATTCCAGCTCAGCAGTCTCTCGTTGGAGTCTGTTTTTGAAGTTTTTCTGTTTTAAGATAGCCACCCGCAGGTCTGTCATAGAATGGCCAGACAGGTTAAAGTGTTCTCCCACTGGTTTTTGAGTATCATGATTCCTGATGTCAGATTTGTGTCCATTAATTCTTTTGCGTAGAGACTGTCCGGTTTGGCCAATGTACATGGCAGAGGGGCATTGCTGGCACATGATGGCATATATCACATTGGTAGATGTGCAGGTGAACGAGCCCCTGATGGTATGGCTGATGTGATTAGGCCCTATGATGGTGTCACTTGAATA